TCCTGAGGGGGAATAGGCTTTGTCGTGCCCTCTTCACGACTCTCTTGGTGTGTTTGGACCATGATAGTTCGTTGGTGATGTGGATACCAAGGAACTTGAAGCTCTCAACCTGTTCCACTACAGCCCCGTCGATGAGAATGGGGGCGTGCTCAGTCCTCTTTTTTTTCCTGTAGTCCACAATCATCTCATTTGTCTTGATCACGTTGAGGGAGAGGTTGTTATCCTGGCACCACATGGCCAGGTCTCTGACCTCCTCCCTATAGGCTGTCTCATTGTTGTCGGTGATCAGACCTACCACTGTTGTGTCGTCAGCAAACTTAATGATGGTGTTGGAGTCGTGCCTGGCCATGCAGTCATGGGTGAACAGGGAGTACGGGAGGGGACTGAGCACGCACCCCTGAGGGGCCCCCGTGTTGAGGATCAGTGTGGCAGATGTGTTGTTACCTACCCTTACCACCTGGGGGCAGCCCGTCAGGAAGTCTAGGATCCAGTTGCAGAGGGAGGTGTTTAGTCCCAGGGTCCTTAGCTTAGTGATGAGCTTTGAGGGCACTATGGTGTTGAAGGCTGAGCTGTAGTCAATGAATAGCATTCTCACGTAGAGGTGGGAAAGGGCAGTGTGGAGTGCAATAGAGATTGCATAATCTGTGGATCTGTTGGGGCGGTATGCAAATTGGAGTGGGTCTAGGGTTTCTGGGATAATGGTGTTGATGTGAGCCATGACCAGCCTTTCAAAGCACTTCATGGCTACAGACATTTAGGCAGGTTACCTTAGTGTTCTTGGGCACAGGAACTATGGTGGTCTGCTTGAAACATGTTGTTATTACAGACTCAGTCAGGGACAGGTTGAAAATGTCAGTGAAGACACTTGCAAGTTGGTCAGAGCATGCTCGGAGTACACGTCCTGGTAATCCGTCTGGCCCTGCGGCCTTGTGAATATTGACCTGTTTAATTAAAGGTCTTGCTCACATCGACTACTGAGAGCGTGATCACACAGTCGTCCGGAACTAACCCTCATGGATAAATTCCCAACCTGGCCACCTAAATCATCCCGCTCATTCCTAATTGGCATCTATTACTCCTCACCCCTCCACCTGATGTGTGGTGAGCGTTCTGGCACAAAAATGGTCGCTGTGCATCACCCAGGTGGGCAGGCCCGGTCCTGGCAGTTCTGCCGCCCTAGAAAATATTTTTGGGGGGCTGCCCCCTCCTCCGATACCCGCATAACTACACTGAATAAAAATATAAACACAACATGTAAAGTGTTGGTCCCATGTTTCATGAGCTGAAATAAAAGATCCCAGAAATGTTCCATTCGCACAAAAAGCTTATTTCTCTCAAATGTTGTGCTCAAATTTGTTTACATTCCCGTTAGTGTGCATTTCTCCTTCGCCAAGATAATCCATCCACCTGACAAGTGTGGCATATCAAGAAGCTGATTAAACAGCATGATTGCAGTGGGCAGTAATATTTTATATGTGAATATACAGTATATTATATATACACATCACATGCAACTCATAATAAGACTAAACAATTAGCCTATTAAAATGTTTATCTGACTCAATAAAGATAATTAAAATATACAAGCAAGTATTAGGCAATGAGTTGACGTTGACTAGCAAGAATTGGTCTGAGAATTGTCTATATCAAAGGGAGATATTTAATTAACATTGTACAATGAATGGATTCACATACAAGGCATAAAGCTTCAGTTACGAGCATTAACAAGCATTACAAGGCATTATTCCAAGCATATAGATTCTAAGGTTAACTCACAATACAAAGCATGAACAAAGAGATGTTTAGAAAAATGCATTTAATTTATAACACCTGAAGGTGTAACCTTTCAACCCAAAACCAACCACCTTTGACCAATCAAACGATACCAAGTTTACTGTGTAACCTGACCACCAAGGCCCAATCTCCACAGGGTGTCACAGCATTTAAGTGCTTGTGTGGGGAATGAGACCAGTGTAAATTCCTGAGAGGACAATAGACCCTCCTTGAGAGTAATTGAGAGTTCACCCTGTACAGACAAGTTACCACAGAGATCATACATCCATATAGATAGCATCAGTTCTGAGTTCTCCTCAGTGAACAAGTCTCAGATAGATACCAGACATGGATACTATAATATTACTATATTCCTATAATATTCTATCACATTCAATATTCAGTGCTCTGGATACTGTAATAGAGAGATACATTTTGGCCCCTCAGAGGGGAAGGGCTGACTAGTCGTTAGGCATTGTCCTCTGTCTTCCAACTCCAGGTGTCAGAGAGCACATTAATTAGGGCCGAGCCTACATGATCATTACACAGGTGCAACTTGTGCTTGGGACAATAAAAGGCCACTCTAAAATCTGCAGTTTTGTCACAACACAATGCCACAGATGTCTCAAGTTTCGAGGGAGCGTGCAATTGGCATGCTGACAGCAGGCATGTCCACCAGAGCTGTTGCCAGATAATGTAATGTTAATTTCTCTAGCATAAGCCACCTCAGCTGATGAAACTGTGGGTTTGCACAACTGAAGAATTTCTGCACAAACGGTTTAAACCGTCTCAGGGAAGCTCATCTGAGTGCTTGTCGTCATCACCAGGGTCTTGACCTGACTGCAGTTCGGTGTCGTAACCAACTTCAGTGGGCAAATGCTCACCTTCGATAGCCACTGGCAAGCTGGAGAAGTGTGCTCTTCACGGATTAATCCTGGTTTCAACTGTACTGGGTTGATGGCGTCGTGCAGGCGAGCGGTTTGCTGATGTTAACGTTGTGAACAGAGTGCTCAATGGTGGCGGTGGGGTTATGGTATGGGCAAGCATTAGCTACGGACAACGAACACAATTGCATTTTATTGATGGCAATTTGAATGCACAGGAGATACCGTGACGAGATCCTTAGGCCCATTGTCTTGCCATTCATCCGCCGCCATCACCTTATGTTTCATCATGATAATGCATGGCCCCTTGTCGCTAGGATCTGTACACAATTCCTAGAATCTGAAAATGTCCCAGTTCTTCCAAAGCCTGCATACTCACAAGCCATGTCACCCATTGAGCATGTTTGGGATGTTCTGGATCGACGTGTTCCAGTTCCCGCCAATATCCAGCAACTTCGCACAGCCATTGAAGAGGAGTGGGACAACATTCCACAAGCAACAGCCTGATTAGCTCTATGAGAAGGAGATGTGTTGCGCTGCATGAGGCAAATGGTGGTCACACCAAACACTGATTGGTTTTCTGATCTACGCCCCTTCCTTTTTAAAAAAGATATCTGTGATCAACAGATGCATATCTGTACTCCCAGTCATGTGAAATCCATAGAGTTGGGCCTAATTTATTTATTTATATGAACTGTAACTCATTAAAATCTGTGAAATTGTTGCATGTTGCGTTTATGTTTTTGTTTAGTGTAGTTGCCTACCCCTGACAAAGTGTTTCCAAAAAGCTAATCTGAGATACAGGTAACTGCATAAATAATGGACACACTTGAGTAAATGAAGGACACAAAGTATATTGAAAGCAGGTGCTTCCACACAGGTGTGGTTCCTGAGTTAATTAAGCAATTAACATCCAATCATGCATAGGGTCATGTATAAAAATGTCCAGTTACCCATTATCTTGGCTACCATAGCTAGAAGAAGAGATCTCAGTCGTACATACGGGATACACCGTCCAACGAAACGCTTACTTGTAGTGTCCTTCTTGACAATGCAATAACAATAAGAAATAATAAAAGATAAGACTACGAACATAAAGTAAATGGCTCAGTAGAATAGTAAATATTTTAGCATAAGTATAATACAGGAAGGCACAATATCTACATGTGTTTTGGGGAAGTGGGGATTGGGGGACAACTTTAAATTGTGCAGTATTTAGCAATCATAACAAGAGTCTGGTAGCAGCAGTTGTGATGTGTGTGCGTAGCCATAGCCGCAGGAAGTACGGGTTCAGCACCCCCTGAAAAACCAGGGATTAAAAAATATTAATCAAAAGTAGTGCACTTGACCTTTACTAGTCCTGTTTTAGCAGACCAACATAGCCTTCTGTAGTGAGGGCAGAATTTTTTTGCCTGTCTCTGAGCCTGATGGTATCGGACCTCATGCTCCGATATCGTCTGCCTGACGGTAAGGGAGTGAACAGCTCGTGGCTGGGGTATGCTGCTGGCCTTCCTCAGGCACTGTAACGAGTAGATGTCCTGGATGGGTGGGAGTGCGATCTGATGTGATTGGTCAAAAGACCAATTAGTGGAAAAAACATCAGAATTGGGCTGCCTGTCTAAACAGAGCCAAAGGAGCATAGGGGGATAAAAGGGTGTGCATGTCGCAATCACCAAATCGCTACCCAATTGAAAACATATGGGAGATTCTGTAGCGGCGCCTGAGACAGTGGTACATGATTGCATTATATCAGTGTTAGTGCAGAAATAAAGACATGGGACATCAGACAAAGGAACAATGTATTTGGCCTAAAAGGGCCATAAATAAATGTTTGTTATCTCGATTTCTGCCTGTTTTGGTGGGATGGAGTTTTGGCATGCCTGGTGAAACCAGGCGGTAAATTAGTTAGTAGACCAATAAGAAAGACAGTTCCAAACATCTCTGCCATTAACAGCTAGTTTTCAGTTTTCCCCTCCCCACTCAGACCACTCCAGGACAGTCCTAGCTAAATTCTTGCTTGAGAAATTGCTTGTTGCTAAAAAGCTATTTGTTTATTTTGACCATTTTATTTGAAAGAAATTCACAGCAAAGTACTTGATATTGAGATAAAAACGGCTGCATTGGACCTTGACGACACTTTATGTTGGCGTTTCCTTTATTTTGGCAGTTACCTGTAGAATCATACAGTTAACAACCGTGTAATACATGATTGCATTATATCAGTGTTGGTGCAGAAATTAAGACATGGGACATCAGACAAAGGAACGATGTATTTGGCCTAAAAGGGCCATAAATAAAGGTTTATTATCTCGATTTATTAACAAGCCACAGTGTGTCCATGGCTGTCTACCACAGCACTTCAAACTTCTCATTCTGGTGCAGTCCACAGCGTTCACAGACCCACTTGAGATACTTAAAGCCGCTGATAAATCTCAAGGTTCTCATTTTGTCGCTTCCTTTAGAAAATTAAAACAAAAACGTGATAACACTGTACCAAACTGGTGGCAGAGCAGCAGGGCAATCCATCTTTAAGAAAGAGGCGGGTGGGGGTGGGAGGGGGCATAAACCGAACGAAAAAAAAAAAAAAAGAACTCCACCTCATTTAACAAAGCTTGGAGCAGCATGCACTGGCTTTCAATCACTGCAAGAGCGCCATTTTCACTACCCCCCGGTCTTCCTTTTCCAACTGTCCGTTCATTAATTTCTCTGTTGCGTTTTGCTTAAAAAATATAATAGAAATAATAATAATTATTATTATAATGATAAAACCTATAGCAGCAAGAGAGAAACAGAGGAGTAACAGCCATAGCGAGTGACCCCCGGTTTATAAGGAAGGCATGGGTTAAAAGAGTTCCATTGGTGAGTGACCTGGGTGCTGGGGGGCCGTGGGACTGTGAGGGGGGCTGCTGCCCCCTCAGCTCATCTCCCGTCCGCAGGCACCCGGCTCAAGGAGGCCATGACACGGCCGTAGCGCTCAACCAGCTCCAGGGTGGAGTAGGTGGCTAGCTTTGGAGGGTCGTGGAAGCTTTTGATCTCTGTCGAGCAGTCAAGTAACTTGGGTAGGAAGTCCGTCAGCTTCTCCTGCAGGTTGGCTGCAGCAGGAGGGGGAGAACAATGACGAGAGGGAAGAGAGAGTGATTATTTCAATGTCCTTGCTTGCGTCACTCTTCAGAGAAACATCCAGTTACCAAACAGAAATCATAAGCTAAATATTTTCACTGTGATAGCACAAGCTCTTGGTAAGCATGCTCCTCTAGGAAAACACAGATTGAGAAAACAAGATGAAAGAGGCCCTGGTTGGCTGTAGTTCTAAGAAGATGCTGCTGGGTCACTTTTCTGAAAACCAATCAAACTTTTTCCTGGAGTAGAGGCTAGAACTCCACTGAAGCTAGAACTCCACTGAACCACTTTCTCTGAACTAACAATTTTGGTCAAATTCTGTGTGGGTATATCCCTGGTTGTTATGGCTTGCCTGGTCTGGCTGCTAACGTCAACTAATTTGACCATGTCCCTGACCATGTTCCATGTCACTTCCAAATTAAACTACAGCAGAATAATAACCAAACATCCAGCAGATCTCCAGTACCACAAATCTAACCCCCTTGCCTCTAGGCTCTTGTACTCCTTTCACATTATTGTGCTAGCCCAAACCGTACTGTGCTGCCTCCGATGTTATTTTCACATTATCGGTTCCAGCAACTACAGAGGGTGCCTAATAGGGTAGGGAGATATTACGATAGCATCGATAGTGACGACATCATGATGTGACAGACGATGGTTTAGCCTATCTGAACTTGACTTGAGCCGCGCAATACAACATTATTATAGCAGGACATCACACAAGTGACATTCCGAGTAATTTTCATATTCCTATTTGCTATAGCCTATTTCAATAAATATGTTATATACAGAACACAAGAGGGGAGGAATGTAGGCCAGACAGAGCAGATAATTCCACCAAAGCGGCGCAAAATGTCCAGTCAGAAAATATTGTTTCTCTCTCTCCGTCAGATGAGATGCATGGGCTTTAGTTCCTAAACCTAATCTTTTTTTATATATTGGATACTCCTTAAAGTGAAACTGACAGCGTTTTAGCTACTTTGCAGATATGAAACAGACAATCATAATATCAGTCAAAAATATCAAATTCCCAGTTTATGCTAAAAAACCAACTTTATAAGAAGTTTTCAAAATAGGTTATATTTGACTCAACATTTCATGCCGTACACTAACGCATTGTTGGCAGAATAGATGGATGCAGTTCAAAGCATGATTAATATAATTATACAGTTAATATAATAATACAGTTGAAGACGGAAGTTTACATACACCTTAGCCAAATACATTTAAACTCAGTTTTTCACAATTCCTGACATTTAATCCTAGTAAAAAGTCCCTGTTTTAGGTCAGTTAGGATCACACGTTTATTTTAAGAATGTGAAATGTCAGAATAATAGTAGAGAGAATGATTTATTTCAGCTTTTATTTCTTTCATCACATTCCCAGTGGGTCAGAAGTTTACATACACTCAATTAGTATTTGGTAGCATTGCCTTTAAATTGTTTAACTTGGGTCAAATGTTTCGGGTAGCCTTCCACAAGCTTCCCACAATAAGTTGGTTGAATTTTGGCCCATTCCTCCTGACAGAGCTGGTGTAACTGTCAGGTTTGTAGGCCTCCTTGCTCGCACACGCTTTTTCAGTTCTGCCCACACATTTTCTATAGGATTGAGGTCCGGGCTTTGTGATGGCCACTCCAATACCTTGACTTTGTTGTCCTTAAGCCATTTTGCCACAACTTTGGAAGTATGCTTGGGGTCATTGTCCATTTGGAAGACCCATTTGCGACCAAGATTTAACTTCCTGACTGATGTCTTGAGATGTTGCTTCAATATATCCACATAATTTCCCTTCCTCATGATGCCATCTATTTTGTGAAGTGCACCAGTCCCTCCTGCAGCAAAGCACCCCCACAGCATGATGCTGACACCCACGTGCTTCACGGTTGGGATGGTGTTCTACGGCTTGCAAGCTCCCCCTTTTTCCTCCAAACATAACGATGGTCCTTATGGCCAAACAGTTCAATTTTTGTTTCATCAGACCAGAGGACATTTCTCCAAAAAGTACGATCTTTGTCCCCATGTGCATTTGCAAACCGTAGTCTGGCTTTTTTATGGCGGTTTTGGAGCAGTGGCTTCTTCCTTGCTGAGCGGCCTTTCAGGTTATGTCGATATAGGACTCGTTTTACTATAGATACTTTTGTACCCGTTTCCTCCAGCATCTTCACAAGGTCCTTTGCTGTTGTTCTGGGATTGATTTGCACTTTTTGCACCAAAGTACGTTCATCTCTAGGAGACAGAACGCGTCTCCTTCCTGAGCGGTATGACGGCTGCGTGGTCCCATGGTGTTTATACTTGCGTACTATTGTTTGTACAGATGAACGTGGTACCTTCAGGCATTTGGAAATTGCTCCCAAGGATGAACCAGACTTGTGGAGGTCTACCATTTTTTTTCTGAGGTCTTGGCTAATTTCTTTTGATTTTCCCATGATGTCAAGCAAAGAGGCACTGAGTTTGACGGTAGGCCTTGAAATACATCCACAGGTACATCTCCAATTGACTCAAATTATGTAAATTAGCTCATCAGAAGCTTCTAAAGCCATGACATTATTTTCTGGAATTTTCCAAGCTGTTTAAAGGCACTTCTGACCCACTGGAATTGTGATACAGTGAAGTATAAGTGAAATAATCTGTCTGTAAACAATTGTTGGAAAGATTACTTGTGTCATGCACAAAGTAGATGTCCTAACCGACTTGCCAAAACTATAGTTTGTTAACAAGAAATGTGTGTAGTGGTTGAAAAACAAGTTTTAATGACTCCAACCTAAGTGTATGTAAACTTCCGACTTCAACTGTATATTTCCTTCTCTCTTCATGACTGAAGGCTATGCTTCATCGTTTTGTGCATGGCTTTCTCCAGATCAGACAATGAATGTAACAGAGTTCCATCTCAAAACATTATTTGAATAGCCTAAAAACGTAAGGTAGCCAGAGGACTAATAATGAGAAGGAACAAACAATATCAATAGCCTATAGAAAAATCTAATGACAAGTTGAAATTAGTTTAAGCTTATTAAGAAAGAAAATCCCTCCATTCTAGGTTGAAAACCAAATGGCCAATAACCTTTCCTCCTACTAGGCCGATCATAAAAGCTTTAATACAATAGGGGCGATAGCATCGTATATCACAATGTTTAATGGGTACATAACCACGATAGGACAAAGGTTGACATTGCCCAACCCTAGTGTCTAACCAGGCCAGCACAGTACAGCACGGCTTGGGTCAGTAGTGTGAAAATGCTCTGTTGCCTCTGCCCTATGACTTTTTTAGACTCTTGGAAGATTAGTCCCCTAATCTTAAAATGTGGGTTAAAAATAATCCAAAGAAACAAACTCACGCTCCATCTCCTGTCCCAGGTAGGAGCACCAGCGGTTCCTCATGTCCTCCACAGCCAGCAGGTCCTTCTCCGTGTCGTGGACAAGCAGTAGGGGGATACACGGCACCACCAGCTCATTCATGATGCTCAGCCCGTCGCTCACCTCCGGCTCCTCACCAGACTCAAACATCCCCGCCGCATTCTCGTTCAGTTTCTATGGGCAAAGCACATGCATATAAATTGATGAGTTAGGGATTAGCTTCATATGCTAGGGATTAGCTTGAAGTGGTATGCTAACAAATGTACCAGTATTAGCTATTCTCTCAAAACAGACTTGCAGGACAGCCAGGTATTACATGTTCCTATATTGCTAATGTATATGTATTTTACATTAGAGACCACCTCTGTATGAGGGGCTGCAGCCTAGGTAAGACACAGACCATTTGCATTATCACTATCTGGTAGTCATCCATCCCGACAGACATTGTCAATGTCAGAGGATGTTCTCAAGACCTGTGGTACTGACGTGGGCAGTGACGTACTACATGATGCACACAGACACTTCGCTATGTTCTCCTTAGCAAAGCCCTGCACTGCTGCTGACACAGACAAACTCACTGACCTCAGCTCTGGAAAATACCTTACACAAAGGCAGACTGCCACTCCGGAACCAGAGAGACTTGGTGGGGGTTCACAAAACATAACTGTGTCAATGTTAGCAGTGTTTTCAATTAAAAACAGAGCAGAAGGTAAACAGCGGGGCTGGAGAGAGCAGGGCTGGAGCGGGAGCCTGGGGTTCATTCTGGCCAGAGATCTGAGATGGCGGCTCTAACTCTAGCAGAGCCCTGAAGGAGCAGAGCCGAGGTTAGCTCAGGACACAGCCATGTCTCCTGGTAATGTGTTTACACTCGCTGGGCCTACTGCTTCCTATTCCCACTCGGGTTGATTACATTAGGAGCACAATGCCGGTGTAAGGTTACTGAGTGCAGGAGCAGCAACAGGGCCGACCGAGGAGGAACAGGGTTCCCCCTCTCGCTCTCCCTCAGTTCAGACCAGACCAGTCACAGCCTGATCCGACCGACCAGGGACTCATTCCATCTAAGCCCTAACCAATATAACCAGAGCATAGTTTGGAGACGGGATATAAAAAACAAAGTGAAGCTGTGGTCTGATCAGAATATTGAAAGGATTTGGATCTTTCCCTCACACCAAGAGCATTTGCTGAGAAAAGTTCTGTGGGAATCTTTATGGGCAATAAAAAAGAATGTAATATCTCAGCTAGAACAGGAACAAACCCTGCATCAATCCTAGAGATTATGGGGTGGAGGGATGATCTTGGTAGACATGACAGTTTGGCTGAGTCACTGTGACCCACGGGAAGGCAAGGATGAGTTAGAAGGTCAGAGAGCCTTGATGAGAATGACTTAAAACGACTTCCACTGTGACCTATTGTTTTGACTGGAAACACGTGATGATCTTTAAAACACTATGGATGAACTTCGACCACTTCCTCTCAGGCTGCAACTTTGTCTCTTTAAAAACGTTCTCTCTTTAAGTTTCTGTACCAAATGTTAAACCTGCTAGCATAAGAAAATCCTACATTAACTAACTAAATTAAGTCAACTGCTGACAGAGACTTGCAATAGTGCAGTGGTTCAGTTGTATGATTGTGAGTGATAGAGGGTTGTCTCACCAGCAGGCACTCTCTGCGGTAGTGACCTATGAGCTCATCATCGTGACCTCTGTACAGCCCTTTGACCAACAGCTCTCTGTTGTACTGGTACGAGTAGATCAGGTACATCAAGGCCTCCACAAAGCTGCAGAGAAACAGACACACAGGAAAGTCAGATCCATTATAGAAGCATCAGGGTGGTACAAACTTACCCACAAGGAGAGGCAGCAGAGATCTAAAATCAGGTTTAGCTGTGTCTACAAAGGAAACTAGAGCAGGAACAGTCAGGCTTTTTTCATAGAGGATTTAAAACTGATGTATTGGAGGGAGAATTAACAGAAGAGGAAATAACCAAGTACATGAACAACCATCTTGATCAATGCCAGACTGAGCTCTATATTCCAGATTGATCTGCTGCCCTCTGCAGGTGACTTTAGGAAGTTCAGGTCCTACTAATAATGCAATAATCTACAGAGAGTATTTCAATCTCTATTTACAAAATAATATATTCAATACGGAAATGGATCAGGAATATCAGTTCACGCTTAAAGTAAGACATGGACACTTGAGTTAGAAGCTCTGCATCGTGGAGAGCAGAATGTAATAACAGTGCTGCCAATTAGCAGAGTCTCACCATTTCTTCTGGAACAGCTCTAAGCCAATCATCAGGAAGATTGTTGTCTCGCGGAAATTCCTGTAGTCCTGATGCCACATCTGGGAAAATTGTAGGCACCAAAAGGTTCATGAATGAGCTTCAAAGGATTTTAAGGACAGATCTGGAACATTTGGATCTAACTGTTCGTACATAGAAGCTTAACAATTACATCCGTGTTTTTTCCATTGGATTATCCATAGAAGGGTTAGTGGGATCAGTTAAAATGTAGAGATTATAATCATTTAAACCTTTTACTTGAATGCTAAATATTGTGCACACACTCCTCTCATTTCAACTGTAAAAATATCCTTATATATGTACTAGACCAAACACTTGAAATCAGTCAAAACCAGTGTTGCAGAATGCTGACCTCATACTCCTCCATGTTGACCTCTTCTGGCTTAACAAGGTCTAATTTGGCACGGGCCACCTTCATAATGCTCTTACACCTGAGAGAGAGAAGGGGGGGATGGAGAGAAAGGGAAAGTGAGAGAGAGAAAGAAAGAGAGAGGAAAGAGGAGAGAAAGGGAGAGTGCTGTTACAGCAGCTTGGCAGTGGTATGATGAATCATACAGGTGAAGTACTAGCTACTCCAGGAGATTAAACATTACACAGTGGTCTCATGGCCGTGACACACAGGCCCCATGAATCACTCCTTACTCCTTAACCAGACGCTCCTCTCCTGAGGGGCTTATTGAGACCACATGCAACACATAATTATACCGCTCAGAAGAGGCGAGTTGAATCAATTAATTCAAGAATATGGATTACCACGAACATCTCAGTGCATGTGTGAAAACTTTGAGACATTAGAAGAGACATCAAAAAGGGCAGATTCATAAAGTAGCTGGATATATGGCAGGGTAGGATGTTTTACACTGGTGCAAAATATAAAAGATTTTGAACTCTATAAAAGTTCTGCAAGACTGTCCTATTGGAATAAATCTAACGGACTGGGCATTATCAAGCTATGGTTGACTTCATAAACCACTTCAGGTCATTTCAGATCATTTAACATTCAAAGGCGTTGCTTTTTGCTACCCTCTACTGGTGAATTTGGGAAGTTCAGAGGAAATAACCTGGTGTGGTCTTTGTTTTATTAAAGAAAGATAAGACGGACTCATCATTGAAATGAACCAAATAGGAGTGACAGGAAACCGGTTATGGTGGTGTAACCCATACAGACCGTTCATCGAAGCTTAGGTTGCGGTCGGCGAACTGCATGAGGAGGGTTCTCTCCAGGATCTTCTTGGGGGCCTGGTTATGGATGAAGTAGACGATGACGTGCTGCAGACGGTAGTCGTTCTCCGGGGCCGTGTCCTCCTGGGCAAACCTCAGCAGACGGGTGTACTCCACCTTAATGGCCTGGAAAACACAGATAGAGCATGGGGTGAATGGACATGGTAGGCCAAATTAGCATTAGAACTTGTAGGCCTATTAGAGAGTGTAGGCCTATATTAGAACACTGATAAACACTGACAAACATCTGCAGCAGCAGGAGACAAAACTAGCGTATTCCGCATTAGAGTTGTCAAGATCATCATCATCCTTCTCATCCAAAACTCAAAGATTGGTTTCAAGTTTGCTTTGTTCAAATGAATCTCATTGTCCATGTGACACCAAGTCCCATTTCTGGAGGATGCTTTTGATAAGAACAGCTGAGTCACAGAGCAGACAGAGACATGAGGAATGCCAGGTAAAAGGGATGAGTGAAAAACAGATTCAATAAAGAAATAAATAAAAGGTGTGAAAGAGAGACTGAGACAGGACAGAGAAATGGGATCAGGATGTATGTACCTTGAAGAAGGCGGCTTCAGGCCCAAGCTTTTCAAACACACTCCTGGCCTTGCCAATGGACATTATAATACCCTGCATGTTTGGAGTCATCATGGCCTGCAGTACCCAAGGAGGGGAAGCATGTTACAACAGTAGAAAATAGATCCCTTGGACCCCTCGGAGCAAGCCCCCAAAATAATACACCTTTCTGGTACAGCACTATTTCAGCTGCCCTGGGCCATGCAACTCTGTCACGACAAGCATACCATACATCAGCAGTCCATGCATATGTTAATAGTCATTCTACTACTGTGAGGTACATACACAGCCCCTGTCACGTGAGGGACGAAGTGCATGCTTAAATTGTCCTATGAAGGAAAGTCTCTGTCTATGAAGTAGGGCCTCTGAAAGGCGGCCCTGTGAAGGTCGAGGTCCCTATGGTACAGACAGTCCCTACAGACAGTCCTATAGACAGTTCTACTGTGGTACAGCCAGCAGACAGCCCATAGTCCATCTGAGGGGAATAGAAACTAAACAACATTGATTCTACAGCAGCACTTGACAACAACATTATTCGCTAGACACTACTGTAAATGCCAAACCAAGCAAAACCAAATAATGTATTGTTAAGAGCAGTGAGACGATGCGGTTACATTATTCAGCTTGTACTTTTCTTTTCCCCTCAAGGGTTTTGTACAATATATATTTATTTGTATCAAAAATGATGTTGGGAATAGTAAGACAAACAGTGAAAATCACATTTACTTTTCACATTTGCTGCCGAGATGCAGTTTATTTCTCAGCAGCAAAAAATATACACTCCAGACAATTGAGTCGATGTTTAGGTGAAATTTCTGTCCACATATCTCTGATGAGAACCGAAGGCTTCTGTTTTGTGTAGAAGAGAGTACTTCTGTTGCAAGATGCAGGTAGGCTTGACAGGGATAGGCTTTTCACACAATATGTTTTTAAAGCTAGCCCAAGGCTAGTTTCATCTTCTAGGATAGTACACTGACTGTACTCTAATATAGCACTCCTATCTTGGTCTGCCAAGAGGTTTGGTTGAAAATGCCAACTGTGAGAAACTTGCCCTGAGCTAACCATGACTCTGGTTTGAAGACCGCTCTGAATGAAAATATACTCAAGTGTGAAAAGCCTATAAAAAGAGCCAAGAGGAGAACATCTCCTCATCCTAATCACCAAACAGGCAGAGAGACTTTTCAGCACACCACAGAAGAGTCAGCTGGGTGAGCTGAGTGTCGAGCGCTACCTCGTCATCGTACCCCCCCTCCTCAGACTCGATGACAAAGGTTCCCACCTGGGGAATGGCCACCTCTAACGTACGCTGGGAAAGGGGCTCATCCTCCACGGGGGGGTCAGGGTCAGAGGGAGGGGTGAGGGAGGGATCCACAGGCTGGGGGTCAGAGGGAGGGGCGAGGGGTGTTTCAGGGTTCACCTGGGCCTCCGACTGGGGTTTGGGGGGAGGGGGTGGGCAGAGACTCTCTCCACTGGACTGTGGAGAGAGCTGGAGAGAGAGAGAACAAACAAGAGAGAAAGAGCGAGAGGCATGGAGGGCAAGGTTAAACAGAAAGAGAAACTAAGAAAAAGGGGGAAATTAAGAACTTTAACTGGGGTTGTGTGGTAGGCCTACGTGGTTGAGTAAAGAACTAACTGGGGTTGTGTAGTAGGCCTACGTGGTTGAGTAAAGAACTAACTGGGGTTGTGTGGTAGGCCTACGTGGTTGAGTAAAGAACTAACTGGGGTTGTGTGGTAGGCCTATGTGGTTGAGTAAAGAACTAACTGGGGTTGTGTGGTAGGCCTACGTGGTTGAGTAAAGAACTAACTGGGGTTGTGTGGTAGGCCTACGTGGTTGAGTAAAGAACTAACTGGGGTTGTGTGGTAGGCCTACGTGGTTGAGTAAAGAACTAACTGGGGTTGTGTGGTAGGCCTACGTGGTTCAGTAAAGAACTAACTGGGGTTGTGTGGTAGGCCTACGTGGTTCAGTAACGTGAGCATAGAAGGAGCAGTTGTGTGATGTGGTTAAGAGGTGTAGTGTATGCATCTGAGCGTGTGTGTGTGAGATGTTTGGTCTTACTGCAGTAAGCAGTCCCTCAGGGCTCCTCTCCTCCTGCTGCTCGGCTGCAGCCTTGGAGATGGCCCTCTCCGTGTCCTCCTGCAGGTGCTTGGAGTCGTCTGTGGGGGATGGCTGCTCCATGTACTCTGGGTCCTGTTGAGGGGCTGGAGGAACCACACACAGACACAAACACATAAACCAACACTGCAGTGGAAGCACAAGTCTCTCATTGACATGTCATGAGTCTATCTGACTAATATAATTTACAAACTATTGTGCCGATTGGCCCCGTGCCCAAACTGTGCTGGCCTGGAAATGTTATTTTTACACTTCCAGCAACTTTGGTCAAGGCGTAACCAGACCAGCTCAGGAGTGTTTAAATGTTGTAGAGATGACCCCTGGCCCTCACCCCAGCTGTCTGATGGACAGGGCTCTGTGCTCATAGGTTGATGGGACGTTGTTGTTTCTGCTGCTGCAGCGGCAGCAGCTGCAGCCAGGGCCAGCTTCTCCTGCTGGGCCTTGCGTGCCTGCAGGGTGTCCCACTCCTCCATCTCCTTGTCAAACATGCAGTTGTCCTCCTTCACGTAGGCCTTCAGGTCCGGAGGGAGCTTATCAAGACCACTCAGCATCTGACCCGTCTCCTTATCAAACTCCTCTGTAGAGAGAGCGAGACAAACCAGGCAGTCAGCTACAGTCACCGGGTGTATATTATAAACATTCTCAGAAATGGAAAGTCCTGTGCATGTACAGCACAAACTGACCCTAAGAATAACCAACAAGCTTGCCCATGTCCTAATCACATACTCTGAAAGGATAGTGATTACAGCTGCAATTACTTTTTTTTTCCCCAACACAAGAACGAAAAAAAGACAGTATACCATAACAAGAGAGGTAAAGGCCAAATAAAGATATTTCCCTACAGTGAGCGGTAGCTACCTTCTATGAGGAAGGGCTTCTTGTCGTTGATGTACATGAGGCAGTAGGCGCTGGCGTTGCGGTAGCCTCCGAAAGAGTCCCTGACCAGCTCCTCCCAGGAGGACTTGGTGACCGAGATGTCGTTGTACTTCATCCAGCGCCGCTGGTGGGGGTTGTAGATGTAGGCCCAGTAGTGGCCAGCGTTGGCCTGGCCCTCGTGCACCAGCACCGCATGCAGCCGGTACGGAACCTGGGAGCCAGCAGGAAACAATGAGTGACCAGGAATACAATACAATACAATCCCCTGAGTTATGTTAACTCAATGTGTGTTAAATGTGAGCGTTCTCTCAAATCAAGACAATAGTGCATCCTTCATTTGGTGTTGTAGTATTACAGACAATGAAAATGTGGGTTTTTCGTGTGACGGTGTATCGTCAGGTTTAGGCAGTGCATCTCTTACCTGCATCATGGACTTGTCAGAGTACATAAGCTCGATGGTTCTGTGGATTCTGGATATGCTGCCCTGAAGATCTGGAGAAGCAAAATCAACCCATCATTAGAATTAATATATTTGTGTGCTTGAGAGACAGATGGAGGTAAACACAAGACACTGTATTATACGAGGCTGTTTGAGGCCAAAGGTCAGGGGTCGTACGTACCATGGGTGTCGTTCTCCACCTCGCTTCTCCAGCGGTGCAGGCAGCCCTCCAGCACCCGGAGCTCCTCCTCAGTGATGTGGCGTGGGGCTGGGTGCATGGGCAGGTCAGGGGGCAGTCGGGACTGGGTGAAGGGCTTGTGGATGGGCACCCTCTGCTGGGTGGAGGGAGCTTGGGTGGGGGCCGGGGCGGGGGCCAAACCCTCTGGAAGGGTGCAGGAGGGACCCTGTTCGGCTGTGCTGTAATGTCAGGGGCAGACGATTGTGAAGAAGTCAAAACCACAACTCGGTACTTCTGAATCACTTATTTAACAGCTCAATCAGACAGAATTGCTGAAAAAAAGTATCAGAAACATGTACACATGAACACTTAAATCCTGGCACAGAGTCACTGAGCGTGGTTGTAGCTGCATGGTCTTGCATGACTTGCCTTAAAGCGGGCAGCAGCTGCCCCATTGTGCCACCGGGGGGTGCTGATGTGTCGATGTCCTCCAAGGGAGAGGTGCAGACTGGCTTACTGGAGGCAAACTCCATGGCGTACTGCAGGACATCTGCCAGAGGAAACCTCTTGGGGCCGGAGCCATAGCTCAGATACCTGGGAGAGAGTGAGGGAAGAGAGAGGATGAAAGAGTATCTATAAAGTGAAAGAGCATCTATAAACACCATACCAGCATTATAAAATGTTAATGCATTATGAAAGTGAGAAAGTGTGAACATAATGTGACTGCTGGGGACATGTTGTACATACCAACAACGCCAGAAATTAAAACGACAGTAAATGATTACACTGTTCTATTTTGTCTCCAGGAGTGGGTATTGTTGCTATGACTCTTGCACATCTAGCATTCCAGTGTTAATACTAATTGTAATTATTTTGCACTATAGCCTATTTATTGCCTTACCTCCATAACTTGCTACGTTTGCACACACTGTATATATATTTTCTGTTGTATTTTTTGACTTTGCTTTTTTACCCCATATGTAACTCTGTGTTGTTGTTTTTAAATCGCACTGCTTTGCTTTATCTTGGCCAGGTCGCAGTTGTAAATGAGAACTTGTTCTCAACTGGCTTACCTCGTTAAATAAAGGTGAAAAAAAAAAGAATGATCAGTCATTTTGATAGTTTATCAATGTAAGAAAGTAAACAGAGGTGTGTATACAGTGGGGGAAAAAGTATTTAGTCAGCCACCAATTGTGCAAGTTCTCCCACTTAAAAAGATGAGAGAGGCCTGTAATTTTCATCATAGGTACACGTCAACTATGACAGACAAAATGAGAAAAAATAATCCAGAAAATCACATTGTAGGATTTTTTATGAATTTATTTGCAAATTATGGTGGAAAATAAGTATTTGGTCAATAACAAAAGTTTCTCAATACTTTGTTATATACCCTTTGTTGGCAATGACACAGGTCAAACGTTTTCTGTAAGTCTTCACAAGGTTTTCACACACTGTTGCTGGTATTTTGGCCCATTCCTCCATGCAGATCTCCTCTAGAGCAGTGATGTTTTGGGGCTGTCGCTGGGCAACACGGACTTTCAACTCCCTCCAAAGATTTTCTATGGGGTTGAGATCTGGAGACTGGCTAGGCCACTCCAGGACCTTGAAATGCTTCTTACGAAGCCACTCCTTCGTTGCCCGGGCGGTGTGTTTGGGATCATTGTCATGCTGAAAGACCCAGCCACGTTTCATCTTCAATGCCCTTGCTGATGGAAGGAGGTTTTCACTCAAAATCTCACGATACATGGCCCCATTCATTCTTTCCTTTACACGGATCAGTCGTCCTGGTCCCTTTGCAGAAAAACAGCCCCAAAGCATGATGTTTCCACCCCCATGCTTCACAGTAGGTATGGTGTTCTTTGGATGCAACTCAGCATTCTTTGTCCTCCAAACACGACGAGTTGAGTTTTTACCAAAAAGTTATATTTTGGTTTCATCTGACCATATGACATTCTCCCAGTAGGCTTTGTTACGTTGGTCCCAGCTCTCTGCAGGTCATTCACTAGGTCCCCCCGTGTGGTTCTGAGATTTTTGCTCACCGTTCTTGTGATCATTTTGACCCCGCGGGGTGAGATCTTGCGTGGAGCCCCAGATCGAGGGAGATTATCAGTGGTCTTGTATGTCTTCCATTTCCTAATAATTGCTCCCACAGTTGATTTCTTCAAACCAAGCTGCTTACCTATTGCAGATTCAGTCTTTCCAGCCTGGTGCAGGTCTACAATTTTGTTTCTGGTGTCCTTTGACAGCTCTTTGGTCTTGGCCATAGTGGAGTTTGGAGTGTGACTGTTTGAGGTTGTGGACAGGTGTCTTTTATACTGATAACAAGTTCAAACAGGTGCCATTAATACAGGTAACGAGTGGAGGACAGAGGAGCCTCTTAAAGAAGAAGTTACAGGTCTGTGAGAGCCAGAAATCTTGCTTGTTTGTAGGTGACCAAATACTTATTTTCCACCATAATGTGCAAATAAATTCATTAAAAATCCTACAATATGATTTTCTGGATATCTTTTCCTCATTTTGTCTGTCATAGTTGACGTGTACCTATGATGAAAATTACAGGCCTCTGTCATCTTTTTAAGTGGGAGAACTTGCACAATTGGTGGCTGACTAAATACTTTTTTTCCCCCACTGTATGTGTTAGGGCTGGGCGATATGGCCAAAATATCACTATTTTTCTCATTTTTGACGGTATATAATGTCTCTGAATAATAAAAGTTCTAAATATGCTTTATGGGTAGTGGTTTTAATAGGCTTTCTCCATACTGTTCAACCAAACTTTAACAAAAAATAATAGGAGGACAAAACTGACAGTGAATTAGTATTATTTTTAGAACATTGCATAGGAATCAAAATCTGGTACTCAACCAATGGTTACCATTTGCATAGTTATTTGTTCAATTCTAGCATTTTAATACATTTCTTAATGTCCTGCATCATTCAGTAAGTTTACATGCACACTAATATTTCAATATTAAAACAGATTATGGCAGTAGGCTGAGTATGGCAATAGTCATGTCAACACTTTACTCTGCTTATCTTAAAATCGGTGTAAGGTCAAAATCGAAGTAAACATACGCTGATTAAAACACCTGGTTTTCTGAACACATCTTTCAAATTATTAGGGTGTGTAAAGAGCTTAAATCGGCCGTCCAGCAGTGTATTTGATCTGCTCATGTGCCAACACAGTGAGTTTGGGAAAAACTGAAAGTATGCATCTTAGAAATAGTTCATACAAACTTTAGATGTCCGAATTCAAAATCAAATAGGCTTCGCAAAAATAACATGGTCGCTGTGGTGGAACGTTTATTTTGATTGGCAATTTTCTGCATTTATTAAAGTCCCATCTGCTAGCCTGATTTCAGATGTGTCCATGTAAACAATATTATTAGGGAAATCGTTCTTCTTGCAAAGCATATAAACACATTTTTTCAAATTTTTTGTGTGTGTATTATACCCTCATTTCTCCCCAATTTCGATCTTGTCTCATCGCTGCAACTCCCCAACGGGCTCGGGAGGCGAAGGTCGAGTCATGCGTCCTTCGAAACATGACCCGCCAAACCGCGCTTCTTAACACCTGCTTAACCCGGAAGCCAGTCGCACCAATGTGCCGGAGGAAACACGACCGAGGTCAGTCTGCAGGCGCCCGGCCCGCCACAAGGAGTCGCTAGAGCGCAATGCGGCAAGTAAAGTAAAGTATGGGACAGCCTGGGATTGAACCCGGGTCTGTAGTGACGCCTCTAGCACTGCGATGCAGTGCCTTAGACCATTGCGCCACTTGGGAGGCCCAAAAACATATAGACATTTTAAACAAACTATTATATTAATCTGACTATCCAAAATAATAATATTATTGTGTGCATATGTATGCCTCTATTTCGTCCCAAAAACTTTACATTTATGAGAATAATGATTCTTCCTCTGTATTTTTTGCTTCAATTGCAGTACTTAAATTTGCCCCTGCGGGTAGTCGGATGATTTCTAGGGGTCTATTTGGCAAGCTTGCCCTCCTGAAGTTGTTGACTTGTTGTGCTAGAAAGTTAGCTAGCAGTTCTCAGCTGTTAGCAGTTTTCTTACTGGCAATAAAAATGGTTGAATGCCATTCTTTTGAATCATTACGGAATTATTTTAATGTAAGAAATCAACATTAAAATACCCTTATAGAAGGTAAAGTGAAAATCCAAACCAGTCCGTGAATGAATACCGGTATATAATTTTCTGATGGTTTACCACCCAGCCCTAATGTGTGTGTGTGTGTGACAGCCTAGCTCAGTGTACTGTACCTCTCCAGACGCTGTTGAAGTAAAGTCAGTTGCTCTTTCAGTCTCCTGATCTCCTCTCGTTTAATCCTGGTGATCTCTCGGTTCCTGTCCATATACCTGACAAAACACAACAGAAATCATACAAGTTCATAAATTCCTCTCCTGAACTGAAAAACCTTCTGAATGGAGAATCTCCATTGAATATGTTTTTTAGGCTAAGAATTTGCTTAATCTGGGTCAGTGAAACCGGCACTAAAAACTATATATATATATATATATATATATATATATATATATATATATATATATATATATATATATATATATATATATATATATATATATATATATATATATACACACACACACACAGTGGGGAGAACAAGTATTTGATACACTGCCGATTTTGCAGGTTTTCCTACTTACAAAGCATGTAGAGGTCTGTAATTTTTATCATAGGTACACTTCAACTGTGAGAGACAGAATCTAAAACAAAAATGCAGGAAATCACATTGTATGATTTTTAAGTAATTCATTTGTATTTTATTGCATGACATAAGTATTTGATCACCTACCAACCAGTAAGAATTCCGGCTCTCACAGACCCGTTAGCTTTTCTTTAAGAAGCCCTCCTGTTCTCCACTCATTACCTGTATTAACTGCACCTGTTTGAACTCGTTACCTGTATAAAATACACCACACACTCAATCAAACAGACTCCAACCTCTCCACAATGGCCAAGACCAGAGAGCTGTGTAAGGACATCAGGGATAAAATTGTAGACCTGCACAAGGCTGGGATGGGCTACAGGACAATAGGCAAACAGCTTGGTGAGAAGGCAACAACTGTTGGCGCAATTATTAGAAAATGGAAGAAGTTCAAGATGACGGTCAATCACCCTCGGTCTGGGGCTCCATGCAAGATCTCACCTCGTGGGTCATCAATGATCATGAGGAAGGTGAGGGATCAGCCCAGAACTACACGGCAGGACCTGGTCAATGACCTGAAGAGAGCTGGGACCACAGTCTCAAAGAAAACCATTAGTAACACACTACGCCGTCATGTATTAAAATCCTGCAGCGCACGCAAGGTCCCCCTGCTCAAGCCAGCGCATGTCCAGGCCCGTCTGAAGTTTGCCAATGACCATCTGGATGATCCAGAGGAGGAATGGGAGAAGGTCATGTGGTCTGATGAGACAAAAATAGAGCTTTTTGGTCTAAACTCCACTCACCGTCTTTGGAGGAAGAAGAAGGATGAGTACAACCCCAAGAACACCATCACAACCGTGAAGCATGGAGGTGGAAACATCATTCTTTGGGGATGCTTTTCTGCAAAGGGGACAGGACGACTGCACCGTATTGAGGGGAGGATGGATGGGGCCATGTATCGCGAGATCTTGGCCAACAACCTCCTTCCCTCAGTAAGAGCATTGGGTCTTGGCTGGGTCTTCCAGCATGAAAACGACCCGAAACACACAGCCAGGGCAACTAAGGAGTGGCTCCGTAAGAAGCATCTCAAGGTCCTGGAGTGGCCTAGCCAGTCTCCAGACCTGAACCCAATAGAAAATCTTTGGAGGGAGCTGAAAGTCCGTATTGCCCAGCGACAGCCCCGAAACCTGAAGGATCTGGAGAAGGTCTGTATGGAGGATTGGGCCAGAATCCCTGCTGCAGTGTGTGCAAACCTGGTCAAGACCTACAGGAAACGTATGATCTCTGTAATTGCAAACAAAGGTTTCTGTACCAAATATTAAGTTCTGCGTTTCTGATGTATCAAATACTTATGTCATGCAATAAAATGCAAATTAATTACTTAAAAATCATACAATGTGAATTTCTGGATTTTTGTTTTAGATTCCGTCTCTCACAGTTGAAGTGTACCTATGATCAAAATTACTACAGACCTCTACATGCTTTGTAAGTAGGAAAACCTGCAAAATTGGCAGTGTATCAAATACTTGTTCTCCCCACTGTATACAGTTGAAGTCGGAGGTTTACATACACCTTAGTCAAATACATTTAAACTCAGTTTTTCACAATTCCTGACATTTAATCCTAGTACAAATTCCCTGTCTTAGGTCAGTTAGGATCACCACTTTATTTTAAGAATGTGAAATGTCAGAATAATAGTAGAGATAATGATTTATTTCAGCTTTTATTTCTTTCATCACATTCCCAGTGGGTCAGAAGTTTACATTCACTCAATTAGTATTTGGTAGCATTGCCTTTAAATTGTTTAACTTGGGTCAAATGTTTTGGGTAGCCTTCCACAAGCTTCCCACAATAAGTTGGGTGAATTTTGTCCCATTCCTCCACACAGAGCTGGTGTAACTGAGTCAGGTTTGTAGGCCTCCTTGCTCGCACACGCTTTTTCAGTTCTGCCCACAAATGTTCTATAGGACTGAGGTCAGGGCTTTGTGATGGCCACTCCAATACCTTGACTTTGTTGTCCTTAAGCCATTTTGCCACAACTTTGGAAGTCTGCTTGGGGTCATTGTCCATTTGGAAGACCCATTTGCGACCAAGCTTTAACTTCCTGACTGATGTCTTGAGATGTTGCTTCAATATATCCACATAATTTTCCTTCCTCATGATGCCATCTATTTTGTGAAGTGCACCAGTCCCTCCTGCAGCAAAGCACCCCCACAGGATGATGCTGCCACCCCCGTGCTTCATGGGTGGGATGGTGTTCTTCTGCTTGCAAGCCCCCCCTTTTTCCTCCAAAGATATCAATGGTCATTATGGCCAAACAGTTCTACAGTCGTATGAAAACGTTTGGGCACCCCTCTGAGGCTGCATAATAATTTACTCTGTCGTCACAGAAAATGATCACAGTGGCATGCCATTCATTTTCTAATAAAAGCTGAGTACTGGGGTGTTGTCCAGACAAAGATTTTTAGTGTAGCAATATTAAGTTGTATGAAATTAAATCAGATGTGAAAAATAGGCTATGCAAAAATGTGGGCACCCTTGTCATTCTGTTGATTTGAATACCTGTAACTACTTAGCACTGATGAATTGGAACACATAATTGGTTTGGTGAGCTCATTAAGCCTTGAACTTCATAGACAATTGCATCCAATCATGAGAAAATGTATTTAAGGTGGCCAATTGCAAGTTGTTGTTCTCTTTGACTCTCCTCTGAAGAGTGGCAACATGGGGGCCTCAAAACAACTCTCAAATGACCTGAAAACAAAGATTGTTCAACATTATGGTTTAGGGGAAGGCTACAAAAAGCCATTGTGAGGAACATAGTGAGGAAATGGAAGACCACAGGAACAGTTCTTGTTAAGGCCAGAAGTGGCAGGCCAAGTAAAATATCGGAGAGGCAAAGGATGGTGAGAATGGTCAAAAACAGCCCACAGACCACCTCCAAAGACCTACAACATCATCTTGCTGCAGATGGTGTCACTGTGCATCGTTCAACAATTCAGCACACTTTGCACAAGGAGAAGCTGTACGGGAGAGTGATGCGGAAGAAGCCTTTCCTGAACACACGCCACAAACAGAGTCGCTTGAGGTATGCAAACGCACATTTGGACAAGCCAGCTTCATTTTGGAATAAGGTGCTGTGGACTGATGAAACAAAGATTGAGTTATTTGGTCATAACAAGGGGCGTTATGCATGGCGGCAAAAGAACACAGCGTTCCAAGAAAAACACTTGCTACCCACAGTAAAATTAGGTTGGGGTTCCATCATGCTGTGGGGCTGTGTGGCCAGTGCCGGTACTGGGAAGTTGAGGGTCGCATGGATTCCACTCAATATCAGCAGATTCTTGGGAATAATGTTGAAGAATCAGTCACAAAGTTGAATTTATGCCGGGGCTAGATATTTCAACAAGACAACGACCCAAAAACACTGCTCAAAATCTACCCGGGCATTTATGCAGAGGAACAAGTACAATGTTCTGGAATGGCCATCCCAGTCCCCAGACCTGAATATCATTGAGAATCTGTGGGATGATTTGAAGCGGGCTGTCCATGCTCGGCAACCATCAAACCTAACTGAAGTGGAGATGTTTTGTAAGGAGGAATGGTCCAAAATACCTTCATCCAGAATCCAGACACTCATTAGAGGCTATAGGAAGCATCTAGAGGCTGTTATTTTAGCAAAAGGAGGCTCTACTAAATATTGATGTGATTTTTCTGTTGGGGTGCCCAAATTTATGCACCTGTCTAATTTTGTTTTGATGCATATTGCCCATTTTCTGATAATCCAATAAACCTAATTTCACTACTGAAATATTACTTTGTCCATCAGTTATTTGATAGATCAAAATAAAACTGCTGATCCAAACACCCAATTATTCATAAATGGAAATCATGGAAATTGTCAGGGGTGCCCAAACTTTTTCATACGACTGTATTTTTGTTGTTTCATCAGACCAGAGGACATTTCTCCAAAAACTACAATCTTTGTCCCTATGTGCAGTTGCAAACCGTAGTCTGGCTTTTTTATGGCGGTTTTGGAGCAGTGGCTTCTTCCTTGCTGAGTGGCCTTTCGGGTTATGTCGATATAGGACTCGTTTTACTGTGGATATAGATACTTTTGTACTTGTTTCACAAGGTCCTTTGCTGTTGTTCTGGGATTGATTTGCACCAAAGTACATTCATCTCTAGGAGACAGAACGCGTCTCCTTCCTGAGCGGTATGACGGCTGCGTGGTCCCATGGTGTTTATACTTGCGTACTATTGCTTGTACAGATGAACGTGGTACCTTCAGGTGTTTGGAAATTGCTCCCAAGGATGAACCAGACTTGTGGAGGTCTAGAATTTTTTTTCTGAGGTCTTGGCTGATTTCTTTTGATTTTCCCATGATGTCAAGCAAAGAAGCGCCGAGTTTGAAGGTAGGCATTGAAATACATCCACAGGTACACCTCCAATGGACTCAAATTATGTCAATTAGCCTATCAGAACCCACTCATTCAAGGGTTTTTCTTCATTTGTAAAAAAAAAAAAAAAATTACATTGTAGAATAATAGTGAAGACATCAAAACTATGAAATAACACATATGGAATCATGTAGTAACCAAAAAAAGTGTTAAACAAATCAAAATATAATAGCCAAATAGCCACCCTTTGCCTTGATGACAGCTTTGCACACTTTTGGTATACTCTCAACCAGCTTCATGAGGAATGCTTTTCCAACAGTCTTGAAGGAGTTCCCACATATGCTGAGCACTTGTTGGCTGCTTTTCCTTCACTCTGCAGTCCAACTCATCCCAAACCATCTCAATTGGGTTGAGGTCGTGTGATTGTGGAGGCCAGGTCATCTGATGCAGCACTCCATCACTCTCCTTCTTGGTCAAATAGCCCTTACACAGCCTGGAGGTGTGTTTTGGGTCATTGTTTTGTTGAAAAACAAATGATAGTCCCACTAAAAGCAAACCAGATGGGATGACGTATCGCTGCAGAATGCTGTGGTAGCCATGCTGGTTAAGTGTGCCTTGAAATCTAAATAAATCACAGACAGTGTCACCAGCAAAGCACCCCCACACCTTCACACCTCCTCCTCCATGCTTCACAGTGGGAACCACACATGCAGTGATCATCCGCTCACGTAATCTGCGTCTCACAAAGACACGGCAGTTGGAACCAAAAATCTAAAATTTTGACTCATCAGACCAAAGGACAGATTTCCACCGGTCGAATGTCCATTGCTCGTGTTTCTTGGCCCAAGCAAGTATTTTCTTCTTATTGGTGTCCTTTAGTAGTGGTTTCTTTGCAGCAATTCAACCATGAAGGCCTGACTCACGCAGTCTCCTATGAACAGTTGATGTTGAGATGTGTCTGTTACTTGAACTCTGTGAAGCATTTATTTGGGCTGCAATTTCTGAGACTGGTAATTCTAATGAACCTATCCTCTGCAGCAGAGGTAACTCTGGGTCTTCCTTTCCTGTGGTGGTCGTCATGAGAGACAGTTTCATCATAGCACTTGATGGTTTTTGCGACTGCACTTGAAGAAACTTTCAAAGTTCTCGAAATTTTCCGGATTGCCTGACCTTCATGTCTTAAAGTAACGATGGCTGTCGTTTCTCTTTGCTTATTTATAATAATATAATAATATGCCATTTAGCAGACGCTTTTATCCAAAGCGACTTACAGTCATGCGTGCATACATTTTTTGTGTATGGGTGGTCCCGGGGATCGAACCCACTACCTTGGCGTTACAAGCGCCGTGCTCTACCAGCTGAGCTACAGCTTTTTCAGCTGTTCTTGCCATAATATGGACTTGGTCTTTTACCAAATAGGGCCATCTTCTGTATACCCCCCCCTACCTTGTCACAACACAACTGTTTTGCTCAAATGCATTAAGAAGGAAAGAAATTCCACAAATTAACTTTTAACAAGGCACACCTGTTAATTGAAATCCATTCCAGGTGACTACCTCATGAAGCTGGTTGAGAGAATCCCAAGAGTGTGCAAAGCTGTCATTTACATTTTGAAGAATCTCAAATATGAAATATATTTTGATTTGTTTAACACTTTTTTGGTTACTACATGATTCCATGTGTTATTTCATAGTTTTGATGTCTTCACTATTATTCCACAATGTAGAAAACAGTAAAAATAAAGAAAAACCCTGGAATGAGTAGGTGTGTTCAAACTTTTTACTGGTACTGTATATATTTGTTTATACGCGACTTGAATAAAATGTTCCTTACCTGTCCATGTACAGCATAGAGGGGAACTCCAGCTTGTTGTGGATCTTCTCAGGCCGACCCAGGGCTTGGTTGAACTCAAATCTCGACAGTTCAAAGGTCAAGACAGGAGGGAGTTCGGTAAACCAATGCTGAAAGGAATTCCAAATATGCTATTATAATTGAGTTTCCATTTTCTAATTTAGGTCATATGAGTAATGGGTTTTCCATAAACACCACATTTGATAATTTTTTAATTGGGCCCTTCTTAATGAGTAGTCTTGAGTAGCGTGTTTAGAAATCATTCCTATATGGCTCACGCCTGTCCCACTAATATTGTTGTGCCTCCAGTCTATTATTTATGTCATTATTCCAAGCAGACACCGACGGTATATACACAGTGTACAAAACATTAGGAACACCTGCTCTTTCCATGACAGACTGACCAGGTGAAAGCTATGATCCCTTACTGATGACACCTGTTAAATCCACTTCAATCAGTGTAGATGAAGGGCAGCAGACAGCTTAAAGGATTTTTAAGCCTTGAGACATGGATTGTGTATGTGTGCCATTCAGAGGGTGAATGGACAAGACAAGCTTTAAGTGCCTTTGAACGTGGTATGGTAGTAGGTGCCAGGCGCACCGGTTTGAGTGTGTCAAGAACTGCAACGCTGCTGGGTTTTTCACACTCAACAGTTTCCTGTGTGTATCAAGAATGGTTCACCATCCAAAGGACATCCAGTCAACTTGACAACTGTCAACTTGACACAAGAGTCCATGCCCTGATGAATTTAGGCTGTTCTGAGGGCAAAGGGGGGTTTGGCATACTGGATCCAGTCCAGAGGGGTCAGTCCCAGTCCATCTGTGATGTGAGGGGGACTAGTAATTAGCTAGTCCCAGCTGCTGTGCTGTGGGGCTGGTGGCCCAAGCTGAGGCAAGGCTAACCCCGGACAGGGGTCAACGCCAGGCTAGCAGGGTCATAGCAGAGGTTAGGGGTCACAGGCTAGGCTAACGCTGTGGGAGTCAGTCGGTCCCCCACTGAATCTCCTGAATTATTCAAGTACCCGTCTATTTTTAAGTAGACCTAGATGGGCTGTTTTAGTGGGCTACTGACAACATTCGGTAGTTGAACAGTAATGTAATGGTGCTTCCTATTTGCCTGTACATTTTGTGTGTGACTAACCATAGATTTGGAACATGTTTTGGAGTTTCATTTTCCCTATTACACATCTATTACGGGGGGCAGTATGAAAAATAAAAAAATTATGTATGCACTCACTAACTGTAAGTCGCTCTGGATAAGAGCGTCTGCTAAATGACTAAAATGTAAAATGTAAATGTAAAACTCCAAACTCCACTGTGTTAGTTGTTGGTGTGTCTCAGTGAGCAGCAGCACTGACCTCCTGTCCAGACTTGGCAGAGTTCTCTGCAGATGAGTGTAGGGACTCGATCTCCCCCTCGATCATGGCTGCCTCCAAACACTCGTGCAGGTCCTTAAAGCCGTTCACCTGCAGAGGGTACTGCCCGAACATCTCTGTGTTCTCAAACTTCTTTCCTGTGAGGAAGGGAACAGGAGCACAGAAATATAATCTAAATGTATGCACCTCACACATACCCACAGTTGTGGCCACATAACCCACAACTAATTAAAGAAGCACTGGGATTTGGTAGAGGCAGTTGTGCCCGATTATGCAGTACTACTCCTCCGAGGTGTGGTCCCATGACCTAGCCCTAGCTTGCTTGCGAGCGCGTGCCATATGGGGAGGCCAGGGAGAAAGTGGCCCAGGCGTGTGAGAGACAGAGGAGAGACCCATTTCACACTAATTTAGCAGTCATCATAGCCAGGCCTGGTTTCAAATAGGATTTGTTTAGTTTCAAATACTTAAAACATTTGATTGAGCCTGCCTGGGATGCCAGATGGGCAAGGTTTATACTTTTTCATTGGTTCCACTGCGCCAGGCAAGCTCAATCAAACAAAGAAGACAAATACTATTTGAACCCAGATGTAGCCATTACATCCACTAACTGACTAAGTACAGCACAGCTTTCTGCATTTGCAGAGCCTCAGCCGACCCACTGCACTGACTACAGCAGCTGAGTGCTGACTGACCAGAAAAAAAACTGAACCCAGAGAGTGGAGAGGGAAAGCTGGCGGACATGCAAATTAGGCATTAAGGTCATAAGGAGAGGAGCAGAAGCTGCCTTGCTGGCCCAGCTTTGTGTCTGGCGGTTCTGAGCCAGTATCGTCATGCATAATAAGCACAATGTCAGTCAGACGTCAAGGTCCTCCAGGATCAATGCTCTGCAGCCCCGGTACTTTTACATGTGCCACATCTCATTAAAGATGCACTCCAGGATGTTAAGCACAACAAATTCGTAGATTTTGAGTCTAAGATGTTGGGGGGGGTGGCGGGAGGTGCTAAACTGACATATGGAATTGTTTAAGATGGCCATACTATGGATTATTTAGCTATTTCATTTGGAATTTTAGGATCCCTTTAGGTATACAAAAAATATATATAACACATTCATAAATGGCAAAAAGGACAGTCAAAAAAGAAATCATAAGAAACAAGGTTTTGAAGTGTCTGTCCTAAATCTAGGATTTTTTTATTTATTTTTTACAATTACACATATTTAACACCTTTTTTGGGGTAGGCACAAAACTAACTTGATACTTCCATTTGTTTTTTTAAACCGGTATCAGCTACCTTCAGACGAGTCCTGTGACAGTTGTGGGAGAACACCATCGTGTTTGTGAGAGTCTCCCCTTTCAATAGAGTGGTCATAATAGTTTGTAGGTCAAACTGTTCGGACGCTACAGACGTTTTCGTGAGAAGAACGATTTTCAGGCTGTCGCATGGTCTGACAAACACCGCTTTAGCTCTGCCACCTTTCACCGCAGATGCGGAAGTGCAACACTGGCGGCGGATGCAGTGGATTGAAACATATCTCTAGCTTAAAACTGACAGATTTTGATGGGGAGTTTTTTGTTATGTAACTTAGATTGACGCAATGGTGCGTCAATAGACCCTAGGGGGATATAGTACGAGTTGGATTCGCAACATACAGTGGGGGAAAAAAAAGTATTTAGTCAGCCACCAATTGCGCAAGTTCTCCCACTTAAAAATATGAGAGAGGCCTGACATTTTCATCATAGGTACACGTCAACTATGACAGACAAAATGAGAAAAGAAAATCCAGAAAATCACATTGTAGGATTTTTAATGAATTTATTTGCAAATTATGGTGGAAAATAAGTATTTGGTCAATAACAAAAGTTTCTCAATACTTTGTTATATACCCTTTGTTGGCAATGACACAGGTCAAACGTTTTCTGTAAGTCTTCACAAGGTTTTCACACACTGTTGCTGGTATTTTGGCCCATTCCTCCATGCAGATCTCCTCTAGAGCAGTGATGTTTTGGGGCTGTCGCTGGGCAACACGGACTTTCAACTCCCTCCAAAGATTTTCTATGGGGTTGAGATCTGGAGACTGGCTAGGCCACTCCAGGACCTTGAAATGCTTCTTACGAAGCCACTCCTTCGTTGCCCGGGCGGTGTGTTTGGGATCATTGTCATGCTGAAAGACCCAGCCACGTTTTATCTTCAATGCCATTGCTGATGGAAGGAGGTTTTCACTCAAAATCTCACGATACATGGCCCCATTCATTCTTTCCTTTACACGGATCAGTCGTACTGGTCCCTTTGCAGAAAAACAGCCCCAAAGAATGATGTTTCCACCCCCATGCTTCACAGTAGGTATGGTGTTCTTTGGATGCAACTCAGCATTCTTTGTCCTCCAAACACGACGAGTTGAGTTTTTACCAAAAAGTTCTATTTTGGTTTCATCTGACCATATGACATTCTCCCAATCCTCTTCTGGATCATCCAAATGCACTCTAGCAAACTTCAGACGGGCCTGGACATGTACTGGCTTAAGCAGGGGGACACGTCTGGCACTGCAGGATTTGAGTCCCTGGCGGCGTAGTGTGTTACTGATGGTAGGCTTTGTTACTTTGGTCCCAGCTCTCTGCAGGTCATTCACTAGGTCCCCCCGTGTGGTTCTGGGATTTTTGCTCACCGTTCTTGTGATCATTTTGACCCCACGGGGTGAGATCTTGCGTGGAGCCCCAGATCGAGGGAGATTATCAGTGGTCTTGTATGTCTTCCATTTCCTAATAATTGCTCCCACAGTTGATTTCTTCAAACCAAGCTGCTTACCTATTGCAGATTCAGTCTTCCCAGCCTGGTGCAGGTCTACAATTTTGTTTCTGGTGTCCTTTGACAGCTCTTTGGTCTTGGCCATAGTGGAGTTTGTAGTGTGACTGTTTGAGGTTGTGGACAGGTGTCTTTTATACTGATAACAAGTTCAAACAGGTGCCATTAATACAGGTAACGAGTGGAGGACAGAGGAGCCTCTTAAAGAAGAAGTTACAGGTCTGTGAGAGCCAGAAATCTTGCTTGTTTGTAGGTGACCAAATACTTATTTTCCACCATAATTTGCAAATAAATTCATTAAAAATCCTACAATGTGATTTTCAGGATTTTTTTTTCTCATTTTGTCTGTCATAGTTGACGTGTACCTATGATGAAAATTACAGGCCTCTCATCTTTTTAAGTGGGAGAACTTGCACAATTGGTGGCTGACTAAAAACTTTTTTTCCCCACTGTATCATTCGAATTGCACAAACAAAGGACGGAACATATCATACGAAATGGATGACCTAGTACAAAAGTTGATGACGTAGTACACAAAAAACAGGGACCACCTTTGGCTTGTGAGCACCACTTTCAAAACTACTGGCTGAAATTATACGTTTGAGAGTGCATCTTTAAAACAATTACCAGGGGCAAGGACTCTACCTCTCTCTTTGCTGCTACCTCGAAGCAGGGATCAGACGGCTGAGCCTTATCTCTCTCTCACTCTCCAGTCACCTATCCTCCTACACCAGGGAGGTTCTAACATGTTTGCTTCCCTCTCTTACCTTCCAGAACCCCCACAGCCTGGAAGCGGCCGTAGAACAGCTCCACCATCGGGTTCTTTGGCTTCTTGCCATCTCTGGGAACCGAAAGAGGTCAGAGTCAAAACACACACTCATTGGGGTGAGTCACAGTGCGCGCACACAAGTGGAAGAGGACGTTTAGGCCTCTAAGCCATGTGAATAATGATCCTAGACCCTTTTGCACAGGCACCTTCATAAAATGCTTACTAAATTCACTACGGTACATACTGTATGAAAACACAGAGAGGGCATGTGTCCCATTATCTCCTAGGAGGATGAATCACACAGTGTATGTGTTTCATGTGCTTTTATAGACTTATATCATGTGTTGACATTAGCGAGGTATTTTGCCATACCTGTCCTCCTCTGCCTTCATCTGGAAGGCATCCTCCAGCCAGTCCAACAGCTTGTGTGTGAACTCACTGACATCCTGCTGTTCAGGAAACACAGAGAAACAGACCAATTACAACACTACTTACAGGCAGTACACAAAGACAGACCAATTAGAAAGCTGCTTTCAGGGCACAACATAGAGACCGGACAATTAGAACAATGCTTTAAGGGCACCTGTGAGGAGTGAAGAGTTTACACAGGCTCTAACTATGCCCAGCAGCACAGATCCAATCATTTAAAATCACAGTAGAATATAATAGGCCTAGAACTCCTAGACCTAGAGAACTTAGCCATGGTTTAAAACATGGAAAGGAGGTAAGTGGGATTATACTGAGGGACTCGATTTGTATCCCCCCAGTCGGGTCAAATGTAATTGTTAGGCTTCAAAAGCAACCAACAGCCCAGAGGGTCCTTTACAGACGTCCATTGTGCCCTCTGATTGGGGTCAACGCTTCTCTAACCCCAGACACACACAAAGGGGCCAGAGCAGAGCGGACCGCGGACATTTCTGATGAGTACAGTAGTCAGACGGCCAACCTCACAGGACCTTAACAGAAACATTAGCTCAGCATTATCGGGTTTTGGGGGGGCAGACACTGAACAGTTTTGGGACTGTGTGTCATATTACCATTACATTACAGCATATTAGTATAAAGGAGCTAATCCCCCTTCCGTCAAAATCTATATTTGTAGCAGAGTTCAGGGGGAGGTTGGTGTTCTAGGGATTAACATTATAGACAAGCGAGGTTGATGGTGTCAGGGGGACAGGGGAGGGCCTGGTGTTCCAACGTCTGCTGTTTCCCTGGGCCTTGTTGCCCTTGCTGACTCAGCCAAATATTTAAGGGAGGGCTCGGGTCCTCAGCCAAAGAGACAAGGGACAATGGGAAGGTAAGGGAGAATTCGAATCATGTATTTACCAACTGACAAAATAATGGTATCTTGGTCGCTTAAAAAAAGAGATACTTTTATGTATATAGTGTATACCAGATATGTATGTGGACACCCCTTCAAATTAGTGGATTCGGCTATTTCAGCCATACCTGTTTCTGACAGGTGTATAAAATCAAGCACACAGCCATGCAATCTCCATAGACAAACACTGGCAGTTGATAGAAGCCCCAATCTATTTGCAATATTCAAGCGGATCTAGTGCCCAATATCTTTTTTCCCCAAAAAATAAAAATACATTGGCAGTAGAATGGCCTTACTGAAGAGCTCAGTGACTTTCAATGTGGCACAGTCATAGAATGCCACCTTTCCAACAAGTTAGTTCGTCAAATTTCGGCCCTGCTAGAGCTGCCCCGGTCAACTGTAAGTGCTGTTATTGTGAAGTGGAAATGTCAAGGAGCAACCACGGCTCAGCCGCAAAGTGAAATGGTTTGTTGAGATCGGTGTGGAAGTACTTTGCTGGCCTGCACAGAGCCTTGACCTCAACCCCATCAAACACTTTTGGGATGAATTGGAATGCCGACTGCAAGCCAGGCCTAATCGCCCCAACATCAGTGCCCAACCTCACTAATGTTCTTGTGGCTGAATGGAAGCAAGTCCCCGCAGCAATGTTCCAACATCTAGTGGAAAGCCTTCCCAGAATAGTGGAGGCTGTTATAGCACCAAAGGGTGGACCAACTCCATGTTAATGCCCATGATTTTGAAATGAGATGTTCGAAGAGCAGGTGTCCACATACCTTTGGTCATGTAGTGTACATTAGACATTGTTCTACTGGAGTAGCCTAACCAAATTCAAATTGATTGCTCAATAGAGCATTTGCTCCAGTCAGAAATGTATTTTACAGCAAGCCCCTGTAGCCCTGTCCATGTACCCCATAGTTACACTTGCTGGATCAAATAATACAATGAATTTGATCACAGCAGATGTCTGGATGACTATGGATGGCATAGCTGGCTTTATAAATAATTTTGTCTTGCCTTGCCACTGTGCTGTTGCTTGCTTTGAGTGGTCAAGGCTGGGTTACTGTAAAGCACTTTGTGACAACTGTTAATGTAAAAAAGGCATTATAAATACATTTGAAGGATAGATTGATTGGTTTATCATAGCAGGCATTACAGAGGGATAGCTAGGAGGTTTACCTGCTGAGACTCGCTGGACTTGAAGGCGTCCTTGAGGATCTCCACGGCGCGCGATGGGTCCACGTACTTCCTCTTAGAACCGACCATGAGTGAGAACAGGTTCCTCAGCTCCTGCATGAAGGGCAGGTTCCTGTGCTCCTATGGAATGACAATCGGGACCCACACACAGGGACGTTAGTTACCATGACAACTCACCTTCTAGAGTAAGGGAATAATGGTTTCCAAATCGCAGTCATATTCCAGGGTTTTAATGTTAACCATCTTTCAGACCGTAGAGACTGAATTGAGAAGTAATACTATAATACCCATTATAATATTTTCAAATTCAGTGCTTTATGATGGTTGTAGTGTGCCTGTCAAAATATGAAGAACGGGTATTTCCCCACTTTATGCGAGGGAATGTGTTTTTCTGTTGGAGCCTAGTGATGCTGAGCTGATCCAGTAAATCTGAGCTGGGGCTGGTGTGAGATGTGACAACCAGAGGGTGTCCTCCACTGCTCTATATACACTAGGACACTGACTGGCTGCATCACAACGACTGGCAATGAATGAATGAGTTCTAAATTACACACTAAGCCTATGGTGCGTGTTGAGAGCAAAGAGCAAAGCCTTGCTTCGAAGTCGAGCCTCGTTGACAGAAAGAGCAGATTAAAGAAAACTAGAGCAACGTTCTCTCTGTGCTCGAGGGTCGCGGCTATTGATGACAGGTTAGGGTCTAAGCCCTAGAAGGGTCCCTCCTCTGTTCGTTCAGCAGTGGGTCGTTGATATTAGAGGGACAAGAGACTAAAGGCGTACGCATACTAGCAGAACTTGGATAGGCGACGTGAACGTACGTGCCTTGCATACACCCTTAAAACAGAGTTTCCCAACTCAGTCCTGGTCCTAGTCCTGCCCCCCCCCCCCCCCCCCGGTGTACGTTTTGGTTTTTGCCATAGCACTACACAGCGGATTGAAATAATCAAAGCTTGACGAGAGAAAAAACCTAAACATGCACCCAGGGTACGCACCAGGACCGAGTTTGGGAAACCCTGTCTAAAAAGGCCTTCTGTTGAAAAACAAGAAAAAAGGGGCAATAATACCATTTGTCCCTATTGAGACGCCGTAGCAACAACATAGCCAGAAACACTTCCTCAAAATAGTCTGCATTAATCCAAGAAAAAAATTAATGACCGATTTCTTGATTTAAGTTTTTGCAGAGGAGGTCTTAGTTGCGCAATTTTACATCTAACTAAGATGTTTAGCGCAGAATTTCTCAAGTCAAAAAATTGGCATGAAAACGAGTCATCTCTCGTTGAATTACAACAAACACTTCATGTTCCCACTCTCACTAGGAGTAGTACTGTTGACCAGTTGACCAATCACCGACGAAGGGGAATAGACTTTGGCTACCGAACTTCGACTTTCCTCAATATTTGTTTTTGCACAAACAGCTGAAAGAAAAACTGCCGAAGACCATAACTGCCAAAACCATCAAGATTTCGGCATAATGCACAAACTGTTTCGACTGGGAAGCATACGGTAAGCTTCAGACCCCAAGATGACTGGGTGCCGCTATATGGCAACAGCAGCAGAGGCTTATCCCAGATTAGCGGATGTGCGCTAACCACTAACCCTATGGAGGGCTCCATGGGAAGCGGTTGGGAGGAACGTGCTGTGCAGATAAGATTGCAGTTGCAGAAACCAATGAGGAAGAGACTGCAGCTGCTGTAGAGAGAGAGGGGGGAGAGGCTATGCTGAATCGACTGGGAAGTCAGGGGGCAGCGTGAACCACTGGAACCTGAGGGGAAATCAGATCACGCTGCAACCAAATAGAGATGTTGCACAGTGAGGGCATTGATTTTACAACCCAGAGGGTCAAGCCTCTCTTCAGAGGGCCAGAGCCTCTCTTCAGAGGGCCAGAGCCCAGCTCAGAGGCTAACAGGAATGATAGCTATCCAGCTGAGGGCCATGGATCTCAAAGTCAGGAGAGAGCTAACCTGACCTTTTCCCAGGGTTTAACATATGTTCCTAACACAAGGGGAGTTTTTCAGTGCCACTATCTCTGTAGCGTATTGGTCAGGGGGATTTGACCTAAGCGTCACTGCTGAGAGTTGATATGAGTTGTCTGGGTGAGTGAAGGATGATAGGTGGTTCACCTTCTGGTTGCGAGGCAGGTCCTGGACTCTGGCAGGAGGGGAGTAATGCAGCACCAGCCTCTGGAACTCCAGCAGGTTGAACAGAGACTGGAAACAAACAGATCGGAACGAGTCAGTTTTCTTGAATAACATAAATTTACCTTTCAACCAGCACTAAACATTTGCGCACTATCAAAAGAGATCATGCATGTTGCTGTATAGTGAGGTAGTCAACAGCTGTTTTACTATGGATGTTATCACCCTGTTGCTACTAGCTGTTGGAATGCTGTATGGGTATGATGGATTACAGAAGAATGTTAGCGTTCGAAGTTACGAACCAAACTTCCATTCCTTTTGATAAAAGGGATGAAATAATTAGAAAAGGAGAACGATTAGTTGAGTTGTAACTTCATTTTATCACCTGCTTTCAGTAAATCTCTAATTCTGGGAAGAGACAGAGCTGAAATGTGTGACTGTGCTGTCTCCTTAAGGAGTCCCATTACACACAGGCAGACAGGGACCATGTGACGGTGTATCCAGTGTTCATTCAGCATATTTCAGCTCACTTTACCCTCTACTAGGGGGTCTATACAGTAACAACGTAATCCATACCTTATGACGGGGAGGGCTAGTCTTTCCAAGTCTCTCTACAAAGAGCTCTACATCCATGCCATAAGAGGATGAGGGTCTAGGCCTATATTGAATACATTACATTGATATAAGATGTTTCGCAGAGTCAAAAGGGAGGGTGTGTGTGTTTTGTCCCCACCTGGATGACGGCGCTGAACCAGCAGGTGTTACCCACGTTCTTGAGCCCGACGGGGCAGTTCTCCATCCTCTTCCTGTCGTGAGGGTTGGGCGAGTCACTCCACACCTCAGTGTGTGTCCGCTTCAGGCTCGCCTTGTTCTCCGCTATGCTGGCCTCCAGAACTCTGCAGAGTACAACACATCTAAGAAAACACTTTCATCAAAGGATATTTTATTATTTCAAAGCCCTAACAATGTGAATAAAGCATATTGTTGACGTTTCGCAACTCAAAATATTAGCGAAACTGCACAGCGACTTGCTCAGTCTGATACCCTCAAACACAGATTGTTGACATGCCACTCAAACACCTGACTGGTGTACCTGCTGATGGCCTGCTCCTCGTCGGTGATGCCCGTCTCCCTGAAGGCCCGGCTGGACTCCTCCAGGCTGAGAGCGATTGCCCTCTGGAGGTCATCCTTATCATCACCAGTCAGGTCAATCACGTCTAAAACAACACACACACACACGTACAACTCCTTACTTACATATATAGAGTACTTAGACCTTCTTCACAACATAACTCAAGTTTTTCTTCCACTGACATCAATGCACGATTTACGCTTAAAGTTAAGTACCCCAAATTAGAATCCCACCCTTACTAATTTTATAATCCCAGTCATGCTGCCGTGTTTCACAGACGGGCTGAGAGGAAAGGGCAGACAGACAATCTTTATTTTTTTATCCCAGCTTAAAAGACCACAAAGGGAAGAGGAGAGCTTAAAATGTGGTGCAGTAGCCTATAATATTAGACAAACCTATAAAAAGACTAAGGTGAGTCATCATCAGAGTAGTAAACAGAGCAAAAGGTTTTTTTCCCTCCTCCCAGACAACTCTCAATTCCATTGACTGGGTTAGGTTATAGGTCACGTGTCAAACTCATTCCACGGAGGGCCGAGTGTCTGCTGGTTTTCGCTCCACCCTCGTACTTGATTGATGAATTAAAGTCACTAATTAATAAGGAACTCCCCTCACCTGGTTGTCTAGCTCTTAATTGAAAGGAAAAACCAAAAACCTGCAGACACCCGACCCTCCGTGGAATGAGTTTGACACCTCTGTTATAGATTGTTGTTTTCCTTATTTGACACATATCCAAGGGAGTGAGTAAGTTCATTAATTAGGCCATTCCTGCATGAAAGTCAAAAGGGGCATGTCAGAATATATGACCTTCTCCGGTGTTCCTGAACGGAGAAGGATATGCCTCTGCAGTAAAGGCAGGACTTCTCGTGCCCATCTCAGAAAATTCCCCAGAGATGACATCATGTAATTTCAACAACGTAACCCCTTGTCTCGCATGAGAACCAGGAGGCATCCTGCTAACAGCCATCCCACAGACCTTTATACAATGTTAACTGCTCACTTAGAGCTTCAATACGAAACTGAATGGGAACGATTGGCAAAATATGATGAAATAGAATTAGGGGAGACAGTAATGTTAATCATTCACATACAGTGCATTCAGAAAGTATTCAGACCCCTTGACCTGTTCCACATTTTGTTACGTTAAAAACGTATTCTAAAATGTATTAAATAAAAATCATCAATCTAAACACAATACCCCATAATGACAAAGTGAAAACAGGTTTTTAGAAATGTTTGCAAATGTATTAAGTATTAAAAACAGAAATACCTTATTTACATAAGTATTCAGACCATTTGCTATGAGACTCAAAATTGAGCTCAGGTGCATCCTGTTTCCATTGATCATCCTTGAGATGTTTTTACAACTTGACTGGAGTCCACCTGTGGTAAATTCAATTGATTGGACATGATTTGGAAAGGCACACACCTGTCTGTATAAGGTCTCACAGTTGACAGGGCATGTCAGAGCAAAAACCAAGCCATGAGGTCGAAGGAATTGTCCGTAGAGCTCCGAGACGGGATTGTGTCGAGGCACAGATCTGGGGAAGGGTACCAAAACATTTCTGAAGCATTGAAGGTCCCCAAGAACACAGTGGCCTCCATCATTCTTAAATGGATGAAGTTTGGAACCACGAAGACTCTTCCTAGAGCTGGCCGCCCGGCCAAACTGAGCAATCGGGGGAGAAGGGCCTTGGTCAGGGAGGTGACCAAAAACCCGATGGTCACTCTGACAGAGCTCCTCTGTGGAGATGGGAGAACCTTTCAGAAGGACGACCATCTCTGCAGCACACCACCAATCAGGCCTTTATGGTATTGGCCAGACGGAAGCCACTCCTCAGTAAAAGGCACATGACAGCCCACTTCGAGCTTGCTAAAAGACACCTAAAGGACTCTCAGACCATGAGAAACAAGATTCTCTGGTCTGATGAAACCAAGATTGAACTCTTTGGCCTGAATGCCAAAGTCACGTCTGGAGGAAACCTGGCACCATCCCTACGGTGAAGCATGTTTTTCAGCGGCAGGGACTGGGAGACTAGTCAGGATCAAGGGAAAGATGAACGGAGCTAAGTACAGAGAGATCCTTGATGGAAACCTGCTCTAGAGCGCTCAGGACCTGACTGGGATGAAGGTTCACCTTCCAACAGGACAATGACCCTAAGCACACAGCCAAGACAACGCAGTAGTGGCTTCGAGACAAGTCTCTGAATGTCCTTGAGTGGCCCAGCCAGAGCCCGGACTTGAACCCGATCGAACATCTCTGGAGAGACCTGAAAATAGCTGTACAGCGACGGTCCCCATCTAACCTAACAGAGCTTGAGAGGATCTGCAGAGAAGAATGGGAGAAAATCCCCAAATACAGGTGTGCCAAGCTTGTAGCGTCATACCCAAGAAGACTAGAGTAAAGGGTCTGAATAATTATGTAAATGTAATATTTTCATTTTGTATTCATTTGCAAACATTTCTAAAAAACCATTATGGGGTATTGTGTGTAGATTGATGAGGGGGAAAAACAATTTAATCCATTTTAGAATAAGGCTGTAAGTAACAAAACGTGGAAAAAGTCAAGAGGTCTGAATACTTTCCGAATGCACTGTATATAATGGGTTTGAGGCCTACAGATTTTTTCTTATGCATACACCTGAGATGAGGTAGGTTGTGGTACTCACTGGTATCTCCCTGGCTAGGGACTGCCCCGGGCAGTGCTGGGTGAGGTAAGTACTCACTAGTGTCTGCCTGGCTGCCCACGCTGATGTATCTGTCGTTGCCCACCTGGGTGGTTTGGTAGTAGGTAGCCTCATCCTTCTGGGGCACCTTGGCGTTCTTCTCTGTCAGAAAGGCCACCGCCTCCGCCAGGTCTCCATTACTGACCTGCAGGGACAGCTATACTGTCAGACTGGTTTAGAAGTAGACTATCAACACTTATTCTGGGAGATCAATAAAGCTTATGAGCTGATGAATTGGTTGAAAATAAGTAATTTCCAGAACTCACACTGGAGATTTTAGAACATAAATCAGTAACATTTCAAATTGCGTCAAACCATTTTGAAATGCATCCCTGAAAATCAACATCCGCTAGGGAAAATATTGACAATTTTAAACAACGTTATGTTGGACTAATAGCGCTGAGCAAGTAGTGCTTTCTGAGGTCGGTTCGGTTTTGGTTAGATTATTTAAAATCACTGTTTTAGATTCCCATTATTTTTTTAAACATTAAATGCATTATGAAATAATGACATTACAAATTTCTAAGCCAAAAATAGTGAACATTCAATTGAAAAAACATTTCAAATATTCCATTGTCTCTGTCAGGTCCACATTGGTTAGGCGCCAATAGAGAAAGAGGAAATTACTATGAAATAATACAATATTTCAGTTGTGTATATTACTTAGTTCTCATTTGATGACTATTTTTCATTCCTTAAAGTCATCCATCATCTCTGCTCCGGCAGTAGCAGTCAGCCAGCCAGACCATATAACGGTATCTATTTGCTCCCCATACTGTACTGTTTTTAGTCATCCTATTTAGCTATAGCCTGCCTAAGTATGCTGCAGAGCTGTCTGATAATCATTTTACTAGTTCTTTAAAGTAGATAAGGCATACTTTCACAAACTGTCTTGATCCCTCTCGTTGCGGTATATGCGGTCGGTGTGTATCTAACCCAATGACTGTATGATCTAGCCTAACGTAACAGGCGTAAAAGTGTATCCGTCCAGAGATCTGTATATAATGTCTCCGCCCTAACAATGGGAGTTGTTGTGCCAAAGGCAGGAAGGCAGGTGACAAACTTAGGTGCAAATTAAGCCTATAGAAACGCATTGGGCTTATTTTGGACAGATTTTGTCAAGAGTGAAACCACTCGCTTTGCCTCTTCCCTTCTGATCTGTCACTGTCCGAGCCTGAAAAAACTGGCGCAATGGATTAGGGTCATTGTAGTTAATTATCACGTTTCTGTGCTGAACTAGGTTGAATATTTGCTAAATGAAAACTACAACTCCTTTAAGCCTATTGTCCCAGAGTTCTTGACTTGATTTCTCTCGTGAATGATTTGATTTCTCTCTAGAGAAACAGCACGTTGGGCTCACAAAAAAACAAAAAGGAATTCAAGTAACTGAACCGACGTTGGTCAATTAGTTGTTTAATAACTGGAAAAAACAAACATTTCAGTTAAATTGCTCAGCACTACGGACTAAATACAACAACTTGATCAACACATTCAGACATTGCAAATTGAGAAATCTAACAAGATCTCTCAATGTGACATCACTACATCCGCACCGCAGGGCCTCGTGCACGTGTGTGTGTGTTACCTGCAGGGCCTGCTGGAGCAGCTGGACGTCTGTGGTGCCTGTGACCTCCCTTAGCTGGTTCAGTAGAGTCTGCTGGTGCTGTCAGGAGCGAGAGACGCACACGTCATCAGAGAGACAGGCAGTCAGAGATGTGGGGGGGACAGAGCGATTCAGAGAGAGCGAGAAGAGTACATAACAGGACAGGACACACATCACTCTCCATCACTTCACTAACTGCACATCAGCAGCAGCACATAATGTCTGAGTGAATCATAATTGAACCAAGCTCGCTAGGCTGCAGAGGGTGTTGCGTTGCAAGTAGGCTACAATGTTTTACCGAATCCATGCAGGCCTTATCTGGACCACTGACCATTTCTCTAAATACCAGACAGTTAGGCTTTAGCTAGTGGAGAGGACGAGACTGCACTGTGCACTCATGTCTGCCCTGCTGTAACTGTTGCATGTCAACCCCAGCTGGGATGCAAGGGCTTACCACCACACAATGGCTGTGTCCACTAAACAATGAGCCAGTGCATTACACACCCTGGCCGAGTGCACTCCACCGCTCCAAACAATGAAGGAGAACACTTACTGTCAGGACCTGAGGCTCAGGCCACTATTCTAGGTCCTTGGATAGCAGCCATAGAGGCTTGTACAGTAAGTAAGCCCTACACTGTTAAAAGTGGCTGTTGTGCTGCAAAGATGCCATCATGGACAGCCCATGTTTGAGTCAAAATAAATATGGGTGCGTAGTGTGTACTAGTTCTCCAATTGTGTCCACTGTGCAGCAGCTCCTTGGCAACTAGCTCCAGATATTTCACAGGGGGTTAAAAGTGAAAGAGTTTCACTCTGGTCCTGCCTAGGTCACCTGTGTTTCACAGGGCCATGAGAGAGAGGGAAACACAGTTCACACCTCTGTTAGAGTAACTGAACATAAATAATGCACCAACCAAGTCCTCTATCTCGGTCTCTCTGGCCCGGCTCCCATGCAGGCTAGGCAGTAAACACTCCTAGACAGTGCTCTTAGGACGGTGAGTCAAACCCAGAGAGAGCTGCTAGGCCAAGTTCTCTCTGACTGAGCCAAACAAACACACTCCACCCCAGACTGGAATTCTAAAGAACCTCACTATTATTGGGTCTCTTAATTCCAATCATAAACCAGGTAGTTTGGATACTGGATGATGATTGACTAACACAGCATTTAGCCGTGTGTATGTGAGACCGTATACCATGACTATGACGTTTAGCCTTTTCACCTTGATAACATGGCTACATCAACAATAGTTTGACATGCCGATGTAGAAAATAAGCGATTAGATTAACTTGAGAGAAACCGAAATGAACATTGTGAAACAAACAAAGTGGGCACCTACCTGCTTCACTGACTGGTGTGCAGAAAAATTGATACATTGTGAGTTTGGGAATACAACAAAAACGGAGCGGAACGTCATTCTACAGGACTTTTATGGTTCACTGTTTGCTAGCTAGCTAAATCTTTCTAATGTATCCTGGCAATATAACCGTTAGCTATGTAGGCCTAACTATTAGCTAAAGTTATTTTGTCTTATATGTTTCAGATACACAAAAGAGCCGATGGGAGTGAACATCCTCGCAACACTGTTGCCAAAGATCTGCAAAACAGCTGGCACGTAGCAGATTTACACATGCCACTGCCTCCGAACCACCATGATCCAGAAACTGTCGGATGCCGGACTAGAGGCACGAGAAATAATGTCTGTCAGTGGACACAGATTCGAAACCTGGCCAAATCTGGAAGCGAGGAAGCGGTGGAGCAACACAGCAGCAGCTCCCCCAGCTAAAAGAACAGCATCAATTTCCAGCAGCGTGGAGCCAACAAACAATAACATAGGACCATTTTTTCATTTGTGCACAATAAATGGAAACATTCTGATCAACATTAATAAATAATTGTTGTGTGTTGGTCACTCTAGAAGTGGTGCTAATGCTCGGTATTTGCATACATTTAATGTAAGCTTGCTAGCTAGCCTGTGGTTATGTTGCATAGCAACCAGTCTAGCAACAATACTTTTGTCCAGCCTACTTTTTCAGGCGGAATGTATTTATCATGAACTTATTTATTAAAGCAACATTTTCAACTTAGATGTGTAGTTCCTTGCATTACTGTGTTTATAAAAGCAATAAGGCACCTTGGGGGTTAGTGGTATATGGCCTATATACCATGGCTAAGGGCTGTATCCAGGCACTCTGCGTTGCGTCGTGCTTAACAACAACCCTTATTCGTGGTATATAGGCCATATACCACACCCCCTTGGGCTTTATTGCTTAAACAGAACATTATCATTCATTGCTGTGGCCCACTTGGTAACAAATCTCAACTGAGTGGAGTGTTGTGGTTTTAGTGACTCAAAGTATTAGTGAACTACTTTGGCAGACTGAAGTACTTCACTGAGATTGTTGAGAAAGAGCCACTGTCCTGTAGAAAGTGCATTTTAGTTTGGTCACGTTTATGAACGCATTATATTGGCTAGCTACAAGCAGGCAGAATGTGACAGAGGGTGAGAGGAGTGAGAGAGGTCAGGCCCCCTTTTCCCTAACAGTTGTCTGGAAGCTGACCCACACATACCTTGACTCATCCTCATGTGGCAAGTCTAGAGCGTCTGTCTGTCGCACAAAGTCTCCCCTTACCATGAGGTCAGTGCCAGTGAATGACACCAGCACAGCGAGCCTTACAGGAATGAGCATTCCCAAGTGTTACACAAGACCAAGGAGTTTACAGGAGTAGCCTTTGAGTCATTCCACCTCAAAAAGCACAAGAAAGAGGATTTCGACACCCACCATCTCAGATTGTTCTGAAATAATTTCTGTAGTTAGAAACAGATAAGATCAGCATTCCTGAAAATTATTTTGTCCAAATATAATTTGCTCTCTGAAAAATTAAGCTAATTGATTAGGTACTATTGTTATTGAAGATTATATGAATCCGATAAATTAAAATGATATTTTTGGTTGCAATCAATTTGCTTAATTTCTCAGAGATACAATTTTATTTCAACAAAATAATGTTTCAGGAATGCTAATCTTATCCTGTATCCAATGTGAGTGAATTTAGGCCTACATGCAACCAGGCATGATGGCAATATACGGATGTTTTGAATGATAACTGTGTTTCACTACCTAGGTGTATTGCAATTTCACAGGGCAGCAATATAAATCGCCTTATATAGTCCAATAACATTATGATGTAAATGTAATAAACCTCCTGCTGTTCTGAACTAAGTCCATAGAGAGTACAGTCTCAAATGTTGTTAAATCGTGTCACCATCAACACTGATCAAAGGATGCGGTGCTGGATGGTAATCTGAGGGATGGTAACACCCTCAGACAAATCCCATGACAGTGTAATACTGCTGGTAGGTAGCTACCTTACCTAAATAGTTGAGTTATGTAAGCAGCTGCTATGGTGTGAGGGCTATGCTGTCTGCAGCCAGCTCACTAGTACTAGACTATATCATTTGCTTCATATAGTTAATGTTGGTTAACAACCTATGGCTCATTCTGCCCTCTAATAATTAACTAAAATGAAGAAGTAATGTTGGACCTCTTCCTCCAAATCCGATTACAATCCATTTTACAATCAAAACACAATCAATTATGCATATCTGCATAGTTGTACTAGATACGTGTTTATCAAATATATACTGTCCAACGTAAACTTTCATAATTAGCCAGCCCACACCCTCACTCAGCATGCTTGCAGTAACGCATTTGCATTCACTCATTGTTGTCACTCCTGGCTGGCTGGCAGTCACTGCACGTAAACAAACATATCCCAGCAGTAATTTGAGTAACGTTAGCAAACCAGACCAAGCACACAGCCTGGGTCAAGTGTCTGGCTTGCATGGTGAAGGCAACAGTGACTTGCTATTATAACCTCTCAACAGTCAATAACTGGCAATGACTTCTAACTCCTTAGCTGGCTAGCTAACTAGTTAGTTAGCTATCTAACAATATAGCTACATTTGACGTTAGCTGCTAGCTAGCATCTGACGACAGAGGATCACAGTGCAAAGATTGTCTGAACTTGAGATAGCTAACATTTATCCACCCAGTAACGACCTTAGCTAGTTATGCTGAATTGACGACATTAGCTCGTTACCAGCTAGCTAGCTGTTGCCCTCATATGCGTGTCACTGTTGGTAAACTTATATTAGCGGGGCTAGCTGTAACGTTAGCAAGCTAACTTGCTGACAATGTAGCTAGGTCTAGATACCTAGTTAGCTACTGTAGTTAGATACCAATCTGCCCTCATGGTTTTTTTTGACAATGCAATGGGATTATTTAACGATGCACGTTGTTTGTAAATACTTTCAGAGACTGTGCAATCGATTGAGAAAAGACTCAAGGATCTGACGCCACACTTGGGAACAAACGACAAGCTAACAGGCGGAGAAGGAAAACATTGCCACTACGATGTACCTACCTTCTGAGAATGCTGTTGGAGGACATTCTGCTCCACGGTCATGGCCGGTTGAGAATGAAACGAAAATAAATTCAAACCAAAGCTAAAAACACCTAGTTATATCCAAGTGAAATAAAATAACAGTTAATATGTCTCCCAGTTAATCAGTACGATAGCGGGCGCCATGGGAAATGCAGGCATGTAGGAAAAATACATGCAGCTGGTAAGCGATCGCTTTTCTGTTTTTGATTAGTACTGCCTTGTTGGACTGCATTTACGTCACTGATATAGTTTTAGAATTACGTAATGAACAATTTTCAGTCCTGTAATCTTGCATACTTTCCCTTTCCATTTCTTCCAATACGAAACCAATCATTTAAAACTAACGGTTTGGATTTGGTTTAATAGCGTGTCAGCTTCACTATTAAAGGTTTGAACATATTTGTGTCTTGTGTGATTACCAATGACTATTAATAAGGGTAATATGTGTTATATAATTGAATAACTTTATTTTTCCCAGAGAGAGAAAGACAGCCTTGATACGATGTGTGTATTTGTTAGAATACTCTTTAATACCTTAAATGTGTGGCGTAAGCTTAGGGACCAACGCAGTCCGTTTCTAATAACCATTTATTAACAATGAAACAGAGCCCACATTAAATATATTTGCAGATCACAAAAAAAATGTAGTTAACAAAATCACGTAACATGTTTATTATATTAATTTTAATGAAGAAAATAGTATCTCCCTTCAGTTGGTAGTGTCATACTTTTCCACTGGTTCTACAGTGTTCCCAATCTTGGTGGAGGACTTTGAATGGAGTTTGAGGTTATCAGCAAGTAGGAAGGGGTTATTAAAGTGGCAGCTCTGAAAAGCACATCACAAAGGAGAGGAGAGAGAGGAGAGAGGAGAGAGAAAGAGAATTAGCTACTGGTGCTTGCAGATGACTGCATATATCTATCTATTCGGCAGTAGGGCTTTTGAGACACTGAGTGGGCTGAGCTGTGTGGTAAGCCTCCTCCTGCTCAGAGTGATGCTGTGACCTGAGTGGGATGAAGGTGCTGAAAAGTGCTGTAATTCTACATAACAGAGAACATGTAGCCCTTCCAGATACATGACCATAGGATCAACTTATGAGGATTTATTAATTACAATGATAAGAATTTCTGATTAGAATTTCTCTTTCTTTCTCTTTATGTAATGTAGCACATATTGGTATGGTCTATATGTATGGTGGAAAAATATACAAATGCATGATGGTTTCTGGATAGCCTAGAGGAAATATACTAGAGCGTTTACCTGAGGGGCACATTTAGGGCTTGGTGCAGGTTTGACTGAGCTTTGGATGGAGAAGTCAGAGGAGAATCAGGAATGCTGAATCACGGCTGCCATTTCTTCATCCACTGTTACCTCTATGTCTGTCTGTAGGGATCAAGCAGAAACACAAAACACAGCCTTTCAGAGGCAAAACTCAGGTCCAGAAAGGGAGAAGAGGAGAGGAATACTTGCCAGCTTTTTAATAAACCTCAGATTTCAGTGGAATAAGTTTGGTGACACATTTCTTGGACACACACCTCAAAACAATGGGGCATGTCAAACTTCAATAGGTCGGGATGGTCAGAGACCGTTCCTTTGTAAGCCACCACTGCGTCGCTCTGCTTTCTATTTTTGGGCAACTTGAAGAGGCGGTAAGTTGCAGAGGTGTGTGTGATGCCACCTGTGGGGAACAAGAAAACAAAGAAACAGATGTTTTGATCTGATAGTTGCTAAAGGAAGTGGTTGAAATGAAACAATGCATTCCTTTGTTCTCACCCAATCATCTTTCAGAATAATGCTCAAGAGAGATGGTAACAGAGAATGGAACTGTGGCACCTGGCTAGACATTGAAGTCTACTTTCATCTCATTGTCCTATTCATGAGATTATTGAGAGGCAGACATTAATGTGCCATCTTACTTGCATTCTTCTGTAGCTCAATATTGTGGTCTACGTTGTGGCTTGCAGTGAGAATGTATAGAGTACTGAAGCCCACCTCGTGCACTAGAGAGATCAGGTCTCGCCAGTAGAGGGCACCACTCAAGCCTTCGCCTGTCACAACACACAGAAAACACAACATTAGATTAACAATTCCCAACCAACTCAAACCCCCCTCCACTGCTATGTTGTTGATAATTTAATGTATCTAGGACAGTGTGTTATTGGGTCTCGCATTGGCTCAACATCATTATTCCTGTCAGATAGCATACATTGAACTTTTAACTCTGTCAACTGTCAGAAATCAAGCATTCTTACCCCACAGAACTGGGTCTTGTTTACCCAACAGAACTGGGTCTTGTTTCAAATGTTCCGGAACAGCCTTGCTGGAATATATCTCATGAAAGTAAAGTTCCCCACCCTTCAATAAATACATAGGATTTGACATGAATTAAACATTTTCCAATCTATAAAACTTATCAGAGTTCTGACAAGAAGGCTCAAGAGACAATCAAAATACTATATTATTGAATGAAGATCATATGATGAGGGAATATATTATGAGGGAATAGTTTAGTGATCTGAATTGAAAGCTATTTTACAATTCAATAACAAATCTTAGAATTTTTGTTTTGTTTTATTTGGGTCATTTATTTTGGTGCTAATCTTTACAAAAATAAATGTTTTACAATGTTGCAGGTGAAGGCAAATCAAACCATAGCCCCATAAGCAAAAGTTCATTGTTTTTCCAGCAGATGGCAATAGAGTTTCAGCAGATGGCAGTAGAGTATCTGATTTCACACTGTGGGTTGTAATGATAGGTTCACATACCAACAAAGATAAATGAGGAAAAGCTAATTATTTATGAAAATGATGCCACTTTGTAAATCAATTAGCTTTGTAAATCCAATTTTCAGCATTGCTACTTAATCAATATTTTATATTTTTATGTGAGGCATGCGGCATGATGCTGAGATATTGGCTGACCACCAAAGAGTGTGAAGGTTACCTTGAGCACTCTGAAAGCCTCCCTGAGAACCGGCTTCTTGTCAGAACACAGACACATGGCACAGTTTGACCTAAAGGCAGGCAGGAAGAAGGCAGAGACATCAGTTAGTCAGGGTATCTGGGAACCGATCAGGTCACCAATCAGGGAACAAATTGATGAATCAATCTGTGAGCCAATCAGTGAATAAATGGTAAATAGATAAGGCATTTCCCCTTAACAGACTATTAGCTCAAAGGAGATGGAGAGGAGGGATTGTCATTGTAAATGTGTTGTGTGTGATTTTCTTCAGTAAGACACTCGAATAGATCCCCAGCAGAAAGCCATACTTCTCCTGGTGGTACCGGACATATTTGTGTGATGCCAGGATCTGGGTAAAGGACATAGTATGAAAATCACTTGTGATTCACAGTTTCATTTGTGATAAGATATTAGATAGGGAATTCACACAAAATATATTGTGTGGCACTGTAAGCCTACCAGTTCTGCTGTCATGTCAATGCCGATGACATGACCACTCTGGCCCGCTAGTTTACTGAGGATGAAGCAGTCCCTGCCAGAGCCACTGCCCAGATCCAGCACCTTACAGCCCTGTAGCTTCTCAGGAACCACCAGCCCACAACCAGAGTATCTGCAGAACAGCACAGTAGCACCCGTGATAGTAGAGACACTGATGCATTGAAGGTGCATTGTTACTGAGAGTGACCAATGCTGGTGCAATGTGAATATAGTATTGATGATTTTCACATAGACCAACAGTGAATTATATGTTATTGACTTGGCCTGTTATCAGTTACAACATGTTTATTATTAGGAACAAACAATATAACAATATGGGGTTATAAACCAAAGAGAGACTTAGCTTTCTTTTTGCAGAGTGAGGGGTGGACTAGTCGAAGTGCATCAAAAGTGCTCTGGGGTATTGGGGTGGATGGTGACATGCATGACAGTAGTACAAATAAATCTGATTCAGACATTTAACATCAGCTACAGTGGCACAAATCTGTTAAATAGTACAGTATGCTAGTGAGGGAAAATATATACCTGAATAAGTTCATGATATTACACATTTTCCATGTTGTAGGCTGATTATAGCTGGTTTCACTTCAACTGTTGCCAAGAAAACAAGCACTTTTTTGTTTAAAACACAAAAATGATAGGCTGCATATACTGAAATATTCACATACCAGAAGACAGTCTGGCTGGATTTGCTATTACTGTGTAACAGAGATACTACTAGTGTAAGGTGTAAGCACACCTTGAATTTATTGTAATCCCTGCGTATTTTAATTGACTTAATTATTTTCTCATAAAAAAATTGAGCTGGTAGTAGGACTGACCAAAATGACAGAGCTTACCTGGCTAGAACGCTCGCTTCACAGTTGACCTTCCCTTTCCCCTCTCTGCATTTATTGAGGTCTGAGAGCAAGGTGAGTATTGATTTTATGACAACTGAATGGACTAGTTTAGCCAGCTGGGTTTGGAAAAAGGGCATCCAGCAGAGGCCTATGTCCTGTAAAATCCAACCAAACTTGATAGTACCAGATTTGGACTGTTTGTTGAGGCCAAGTTCACTTACCCCCACTTCATGCAACAAACTACAACTGTTTTTCAGTTGTATTCATGTTTTTCATGAATGTATTCTTTATGTGTTCTTTGTGTTTTTACCTGTCAATTGTCCAGGCACTTTCTTTGTACTGTACTGAACATTGTTTTCTGATTCACGTATAGCAAATGTGTTCTCCTATCCCCTCATGTCCCACTTTGTATCGTCTCTGTCTGCACATCTTTCACAGTTCAATGCATAATAACATTTAAATACGCAAGCAATGTGAGTTGGAGATGTTTCAAAATCTCCTCTGAATGCCAGATGCAGTAAGTAAAAAGCCTCTGTCCCTCCCCTCAACCCATGGAACTGCAGATCAGAAACCAGTCAACAACAGAGTTAAATTTAGCATGTTTCCCCTAAATGCCCCTTGGCCTCCACCGGCACAAAGTTCACATCTCAATCTGGTCTCAGCAAGACCAGCTGACACTGACCCGCCCTTTCTCATTCTGGGGTTCTTGAGAAATGTTTACTTGGGAAGTTCATGGCCACAGTGTTGTCATATGTGGTGGAACAGTACTAACTGTAAGTCACTCTGGATAAGAGCGTCTGCTAAATGACTAAAATGTAAATGTGAATGTAACTACACAGACAATCACAAGCAAACTGTGTCCTTAAAAAAAATTTGCTTTGAGAATTGAAAATGGGGTTAAATTGATCAAATCAATTTTAAGCATTGTTGTTTTTTTAAAGTGTTTAATTTGGATAATGGGACATAGCCACAATCAAGCACTGTGCAGTTTCAGTTCTGGCCAATGTTGAACTTTACTGCTCAGTGTGAAATTTGGCCTGGGTAATTGCGGATAACCAAACAAATCTTTAGGCATTTTGTAGGAATACTGTATACTCACCGCGAAGAGCATAATTATTAGTAAAATGTTTGGTTTAAGGAGAGTGGTGGAAAAGATTTGAGTACCTTCCTGGGAGGAAGACATTAACAGACAGGAGATTGACACCACTAGCTCTCCCCAGACAGTTTGTAAAACATTTACCCTTGTGCTTGTCTGACATTGCAGATGTCAGCCATGCTCTTTCATTGTCAGCCAAGATCCCTCAAACGGACAGGCAGGCAGGCTGCTGCGCTGAAGCTCTGACTGCAGAGAGACGCTCTTAGGGATCATTAATATTTCACTCACTCTGTTTACATGTATTCACTTGACCATCAATATGCAGCCTATATAAAATGCGTTATTTCTTTACCTTATCAATAATTTAGGGCACACACACATTTAAACCCAACAAAAATTAAATGTATTCGTGATTACTGATCAATTAATTTATACATTTATAATTAGTAGGTTTTGTTATCTGTTTTAACAAACCTTTTAAATTTGTGTACTTATGTATTGTATATACTTTTTTGGGGTGTGGTTTTCATTTAAGACCTTGGGCTTCCATCCACACCTGCACACCATTTTCTGTATGATTCTTTTAAAAAATCTGTATTGTTGTCTATCACTTGTTTTCTTTGGTGCAATTTTTTTTTTAAATAAATAAAATAATGAATAAATGTGAACCCTGTGCATCTTTGAGACTAGTATCCTTGACACAGTAAAGACTGTCTTAGTAAACAGAGCATTTATCCATTAGCTCTAATAGACCATTATATTTTCAGTCCACTCCATATTAACCTATTGAATTGTAACTATTACAGTAACCACAGAACTCATCTTAAAGCACCATTCCACATATCAAGATAATTACTCATTTATGACATGTAATAATTACCAAAACATTTATGTTCACCCACAGAGAGGTCTGGGGAGCAGAGAAAGTCAAAAGGTCAAAAGGCTATCAGGTGTGATTAAAAGAAAGAACTGAAATCATGCTGCCAGTTGTCATATTTACAGAGGCCCTTTGAAGAATGGGATTGTGAAGCGGAGGGGGGCCCAGCTCACAGCTGCGGGACAACACTTGATCCTGGGCTGCCGAGAGACAGAGGGCGGTCAGGCCGAGAGGAGGTTCAGAGGTTATGACCTTGGTGGTTAAGGCTCCAGACTTCACAAGAGGTACATCTTCAAAAGCTAAGGCCCCATTGGGGAAACTGGTTAGGGCAGGAAAATAAACAAATGTGACCTCTTTCTTTTAGAACAGGATTTTCCTCCCCCAGTTGCTTGATTCTATTTTTTATTTGATTTTATGTTGGTTCTCTTCAAGTTTTACTTTCAAATTTCATCCATTCATTGAAGTATTAAAACCATCTAATTTCAAAGAGCTAATCTATTGTATCACATTAAAAAAAAGTTTTAAGGCTTCTTGTTATGTTTACTCTTTTTTTACTCTTCTACTTCTAATTGTGAAGTTCTCATCAGGACGAGGAGAGCCTGACACCCCTCTTTCAAATGAGGTCACATGACCCATAAAATGTTAATTGCACTCCTCCATAGGGAGGTGTTGTGTGTGTTTACATAACATGGGAGGTCAAACCATGTGCTCAATGTTCAAACACTAGTGTAAGCAGGGGTGACTGAACATCTGTGGGGGGATGCATTAGAACAATCACCATGACAGCTAAAGACAAGTGTTGGCCGTGCATGGCCCCCATGTGAGTAAACAAAAGGATTTGATAAAATAGGACAGAAAATAAAAACAACAGTTTTATTGACCATCATCCCAATAAAATAGTGTTTAAAAAAAACAACTTTTGTGAACTTTGTACATTTGAATTACCCTCTTGTTAGTGGAAAGCTGTGCAGATCCTTGACAAACTTTAGAATTTCAAGTGAACAATGCTCTATACCGAGTTTTGATTTTTTTTTTACTTTTGAAACTACCAATGCTGGGTGCCATGTGAAAAATCGCACAGCATGAAATATCTCACAATCGACTATTATTGTGATTATTTTTACGCTTCTGATTGACTCTGATTGTGACGTCAAAGCGTGAAAAAGCTCAGATCTTGAGAATTCTCACTGGTCAATTGATTGCTTGTGCTTGTGCTTGTGCTTCTGCTTCAATTCTGTTTCTGGGTTATCTGTGTTTCTTAGGTGGATAACGTCAGTGCCTGATTGAAATTGACACTTCAAACGTGAATAAATAAGTAATGACCACTTTTAAAATATATTGTTGATTGTTTTGCGCTTCTGTCGGGGCGCAAAACAACTGGGTGGAATGTCGAGAGTTACTGTAGCTGTTAATGCGTTAGCATAGTGATTTAGCAGCAAGCCTGTTAGCAAGTTGTGAACACTGACTGTGTAGATGGCTGAGCTCGTGGCTGCAAATTCTTCCAAATTAATTACAAATGAAAAGCTTAAATGTCTTGAATCAATAAGTATTCAACCCATTTGTTATGGCAAGCCTAAATAAGTTCAGGAGTAAAACATGTGCTTAACAAGTCACATAATAAGTTGCACTCTGTGTTTAACATGATTTTTGAACAACTACCTACTCATCTCTGTACCTCACACATACAATTAGGTCCCTCAGTCAAGCAGTGAATTTCAAACACAGATTCAACCACAAAGACCAGGGAGGTTTTCCAATATCTCTCAAAGAAGGGTACCTATTGGTAGATAGGTAAAAATAAAAAAGCAGACATTGAATATCCCTTTGAGCATGGTGAAGTTATTAATTACACTTTGGATGGTGTATCAATACACCCAGTCACTATTTTTATTTATCACATATTTTACCAGGTACATCGACTGAGAACACATTCTCATTTACAGCAACAACCTGGGGAATAGTTACAGGGGAGATGAATGAGCCAACTGGAAGCTGGGGATGATTAGGTGGCCATGATGGTCAGATTGGGAATTTAACCAAGACACCGACAAGTGCCATGGGATCTTTAGTGACCACAGAGAGTCAGGAAACACATTTAACGTCCCATCCGAAAGACAGCACCCAACACAGGGCAATGTCCCCAATCACTGCCCTGGGGCATTGGGATATTATTTTTAGACCAGAGGAAAGAGTGCCTCCTACTGGCCCTCCAACACCACTTCTAGCAGCATCTGGTCTCCCATCCAGGACCAACCTTGCTTCGCTTTAGAGGCAAGCCAGCAGTGGGATGCTGGGTGGTATGCTGCTACAGGAATCCTTCCTAACTCAGTTGCTGGAGAGGAAGGAAACCATTCAGGGATTTCACCATGAGGCTAATGGTGACTTTAAAACAGTTACAGAGTTTAATGGGTGTGATAGGAGAAAACTGAGGATGGCTCATCAACATTGTAGGTACTCTAAAATATTAACCTAATTGACAGAGTGAAAAAAAGGAAGCCTGTACAGAATGAAAATATTCCAAAACATGCATCCTGTTTGCAACAAGGCACTAAAAAATTTGGCAAAGCAATGAACTTTTTGTCCTGAATCCAAAGTGTTATGTTTGGGGCAAATCCAATACAACACATTACTGAGTTACACTCTCTATATTTTCAAGCATAGTGGTGGCTGCATCATGTTATGGGTATGCTTGTAATTGTTAAGGACTGGGGAGTTTTTCAGGATAAAAAATTAACGGAATGGAGCTAAGCACAGGCAAAATCCTAGAGGAAAGCCTGGTTCAGTCTGCTTTCCACCAGACACTGGGAGATGAATTCACCTTTCAGCCGGACAATAACCTAAAACACAAGGCCAAATCTACACTGGAGTTGCTTACCAAGAAGACAGTGAATGTTCCTCAGTGGCTGAGTTACGGTTTTGACTTAAATCTGCTTGAAAATCTATGGTAAGACATGAAAATGGTTGTCTAGCAATGATCAACAATCAATTTGACAGAGCTTGAAGAATTTTGAAAATAATAATGGGCAAATGTTGCACAATCCAGGTGTGGAAAGCTCTTAGAGATTTACCCAGAAAGACTCACAGCCGTAATCGCTGCCAAAGGTGCTTCTACAAAGTATTGACTCAGGGGTGTGTAAATGACATATTTCTGTATTTCGTTTACAATACATTTGCAAAAATTTCTAAAGATGTTTTCACTTTGTCATTATGGGGTATTGTGTGTAAATGGGGGATACTTTTTTTATTTAATACATTCTGAATTCAGGCTGTAACATAACAAAATGTGGAAGGCACTGTAATTCAAGGTTGAGAGAGGGTGAGAGGTGAGAGATCCGCACGAACGCAGCCATCTACACAACTAGCTAACAGGCTTGCGGCTAATGCAGCAATTGCTATAATAGTGCATAAACAGCTAACTCTCGCCTTTCCCCACAGTTTCTAAAGTTACCCGACACTAGCTAAAAAAGCCCTGACAGAAGCGCAAAACAATCAGTAATATATTTTGAAAGTGATAACACTTATTTTTTCATGTTTTGTCGCTCTGGATAAGAGCGTCTGCTAAATGACTAAAATGTAAAATGTAAATGTAATGTTTACAGCGTCAATTTCAATCAGGCACTGATGTTATCCACCTAAGAAACACAGATAACCCGGAAGCAGAATTGAAGCAGAGGCACGAGTAATTGACCCGTGATAATTTTCATGCTGTGAGGATATTTACGGCATGTGTTATAAGCTTGAAAAAGCTCACCGTCAATCATAATCATTGATTGTGAGCTATTTCACGCTGTGAGCCTTTTTTTACATGACACCGGGAACTTGTTTTTGAGGCCTCTGACAAGCCTATGAGAAATGCCAAGTTATCTTGACATCAGAGGCCTTGTTTGACTCAATTTTAATCATTTGTGACCTGCTGTGCTGCATTCACATCCTGCTGGCCCCATGTCGAGGTCAGGAAATCAAAGGGGGAAGCACAGACAAACAGACGATTGTGAAGTTTTACACCTTGACCTCGGTTTAAACTTGTGACTTGCCTCCTTTATGCTCACCAGTGTTTTGGCAGTGGGAGGAAATGGAGGGGTTATTGGCAGTTCAGGGCTTGATAAGGATCTTGGGAGGGAGAAGTTCACACAGGGGAAAGGTTACTGAGAGTTTAAAGAGAGTGCAGCCAGTCATGGAGAGGATTAAATAAAGGGGCAGCTAGTCAGGATAGGGCTGCTGAGAAAACCGAGCAGGATTTCAAAAGTGCACTGTCTGCAGACGGACAAAAACCTGACTGTTCACCCACTGGACTTCAACATTCAGAACCCAGGGGCAAAGAAAGTTTGGGGTGAACTTCCCTTCACCTTTAAAAAAATCTCTCTCCTCTTTCTCTTCCTCCTCTTTCACTAAGGGCTGTTTTCTGTCCCTGAGCAGAGCTGCTGCTTCATGAAATGGATCATCAGGGTGTCTGAAAATAGGACTTCAGGTGTTTAATGGCAATAATATAATGTGATCTATTTTAGACTGAGGGAGAAATGTGATGTGGATTCAGCTTCAAAGGGTATACCATGGTGCATGCATCTAGGGCACATCTGCTGACCTCCACTCCTGTCCTCACTCCTTTCAATGCCTTTCCTGCCTTTGTTAAGATCTGGCAGAGAACTCAGAATCAAAGTTCTCTGAACTCAGAAAATAGATCACGTCCACGTTACTCAGAATGCACTATGAATGAGGAAACTGACCAGCAACTGACTCGCACTGACACTGACCTTATGTGTGTGGGAACATAGAGCAATATAAAACAACTAAATAAGAAACATTCAATGTATGAGGAATAAACCATTAAATAAATAATATGAAATACAGTAGTAACATAATGAGATATTATAGTTAGGGAAGGTGAAACAGGAGCATAACTCAGTCAAGCGTTTTAGTACTTTATTTTGGAGATATCAGTGCAAATGAACACCAAAAAAATGAAAACATAAAAAATGAAATAATGTTTCAGGTTGTCACATGGAAAAATGAAACACTTTCTTTTTGCTACAAATGCATGTTTCAGATGCATGATGCACAATGATGATTGTACTTCATACATCCGCTAAAACCCCCAAGCTCCGTCCATCCGAGCTCTGTCTTCAACCAGTAGCAGAAAATAAAATCACAAAAATATTCAATGCACATTTATTTTCACACCTTTTCTCCACTTGCTCAACAGCCTGTGGTTATTTAGTGACTGTTCATGTTCTAAATGACCCTCCCTCTGTGATAAAAATACCTATTTTAAGACTTGACATTTTGCCCCATCACCAGTAGGGATACACAGGTAGTTCCCATGCGTCTGCATGCAACAGGCAGCAGTGAGGAGAGTCAGACAGTATTACACAACACAGCGCAGGATAGATTATCATTTACCACATAGAGACACATGCAAAGAACAAACCAACCAAAAAACAGGCATAGTATCCTCTGCCATTTGTATGTATGTACACTAATAGGCATTGAATTCATATTTACATTTTTTAGGGCATTAAAAACTAGGGTAATATATTTTTCTTCAACAATACAAAATAGTTATCTTTCATAATGAAAGTACTATTTACACAAATATATTTAACCATTGTGAAAATGTATTAATAATAGAAGAAACATCTACTTCATATGTACTTCATATGTATATGTATAAAAAAATATCACATGTAAGACTAAATGCATGACAGCAATGTGTGAAACTGAAACCAGAAACTGAAAAAATACAGTACAATCAAAATAAGGAGCTAGACATCAGATAAGCCCCCAAAAGACACCAAAAAGGACTTCATGATTCTTGGGTGGCAGGTTCACGTCATATCCTGCTGCTTTCAAATGTACCTGCGGTTTTCTCTTTATTTCCATGCAATTATTTAGACATTTTAATATGAGCTAAGAAACCGCAAAAAAAGTAAATGGTGTCCATAAAGCACGATAATCAATAAACACAAAATAAACTTCACAAACTGTCAAATTCTCAACGGATAACAACACTGACAGTTTTTCATTACATGCCATAAACATATTATTTTTAAGGACACCAAGAGCTAAACTTTGACAGTTCAAACTCAGGGGTACAATATCAAATGAGACTGTATTATTTATTTCAGAATATCAATTTATATTTCAAAACCAAGATTAAGTATGTGTGAGGAAGCTGTGTTAATTTTTAATTAATTTGGAATGTAACAGTTATGCAGATACTGCAGTCTTTTAACTGTTGCTCCGAACCTGTATACAACTACTACACTCACTGTATGTCCCACAGGTAGGCTCAGCAAGGTTTTAAAATAACCTCTACTACAAGTATTTAGTAATAGCTGTATTACCAGTTGTATTACCATCTATTAAGATAATGTTACCTTGCGTTTGCACTGTCAAAACTAAGCCCCAACAAGTTAATTTCAGATCAAAGCAAAATGCAATGCGTTGTGACCACATGAGCACTGTCTGTCAGTTGACATAGCCGACTCACTGATGATCATAAAATAAAATTACTCTTGAGGAGAAGTTACAGTAGCAACCAATACAGAGCCTTCATAGAGAATGGAATTCTAGGTACCTTTAGTCGATTTGATTAACATTGTTCTCAAGGTCTTCCTTTAAAAATGTCTCTAACGTCTACGTTTTAATGTACTGCTGTGCTTGCCCTGGTATGACTTTATTTAGGATCTGATCTAAAAGTGAAAAATAAATAAATATGCAGTGAACTGAGCGCTAACATCAATAATAAATGTAGTTGGAAATGTTCTTCATCAATGTTTTACGAGTGGCAACAAAGAGGACACAGAATAGTGATATGTGTGCAATACAGGCACAAATCATAGGAGTAAAATGAATGGTGCCTTCTTTCAATAATTTGAGAATGTGAAATACATACTGTATGGAAATCACCAGTGGGCAATCTTAAAATTTGACGATTATTTTGGTGCAAGTAATTTGACATTCTGTTGAAGTAGAGCTATATCGTACCACCCATTCTGTAACCTGAGCCATCTAGAATTATGATTCAATAATGAAACGAATGCCTTGAATTAATTTTCTCTGTTCTTCTTTTTCAAAATCCTCACTCTTGCATTCCTTGCTGTTATTTCTTCTCATTAAACTACAAATGAATTTGGCAAGTCAGTAAAAAAAGGAAGAAAAAAATAAACATTGCAATCTTTTCCCCCTTCAGTCTTTTTTTATGTTTTGGTTCATAAAAGTCATTAGTTCATAAAACTACCATTTATCAGATGAGTCGCTCAGCCTATGCTTGTCGTTGTTGTAGGGAGGGGACAGGGAGGAGTGCTGGGTGGAGGTGCTGGTGGAGCTCAGTCTGTGGTTGTAGGCATCATTGCTGTTAGTACCCGGCTCCTCCTTCACCCTCACCCCTGGCCCTGACCCCTGAGTCCCCTCCGCCTGGTCCCTCCCCTCCCTCCTCAGCTGAGCGCTGCCTTTCTGCAGCATGTAGTACAGGATGGGGTTGGAGCGGGTCAGCCGGGGGGAGTCTGGGCTCGAATCAGAGCCCTCCTCCTCCCGGTCCCGACCTGCCCACTGCACCGGGCTCTCCGGTTCCCGTTTCACTGGAGTGGAGTCCCGTTTGGGCGAGTCCTGGTGGGGTGGGAGGGCTGTGTGGCGCCCCCAGGGGGAGCGTTGGCTGCTGTCCCCTGTCAGGGGAGTGGGCAGCGGTCTGAGGTGGCTGGGGGGCCCTGAATTGAGGGAGCTGTGGGGGTTGGGGTGGTGCCAGGGCAGGGTAGGCAAGTTGAGGAGGTCGTGGTGATTGTAGCCCGGCTGATTGAGGTTAAGTACGCTCCCATTGGCTTTACCGTTGGCCTGCAGAACAGAGGGGCTGGGCCCCCCACGGGGATGCTGGGACAGCTCCTTCAGACAGTTGTCAGACAGGAGCAGCTGTTTGAGCACATTGAAGCCCCGGCTCTCCCTAGGGAGGAGAGCTTCACTGCTGGGGCTCCTGGCTGGGGTCTCCTCCTCTTTAGGGCCCCTCAGGGCCCTGTGGTAGTCAGGCTCCTCCTGTATCTGCTTATGGACCAGACTGTGAACCAGGCTGCTGTGCCTGTAGCTGCCTCCACTGTCCACTACTGCCATCTGAGGGCTGCCATTGTTCAGGCTCTCAGCCAGCTCCGAGCAGAGCCGTCTCTTTTTAGGGCTGGGCCCCTGGTGGTGGTAGTCTCTCTGCTCCTCCTTTACATGGACAGGGCTGGGCCGGCGATCTGTGTGTAGCTGTGCAGCGCTGGTGTAGTAGGTAGCACTCTGCTGTTTTAGGAGCTGGCTCAGGAGGCCATATTTAGCAATGACCTCTGTGGGCCGGTGCTCTGTTTTTAGGTCCTGCTGGGGTTCAGAGAATGGGTTATGCCTGTAGTGATAACCTTCTCCTCCTCCTCCCCGTCTCTTTCGGCTCGTCACTTCCTCACACACAGCAGAGGACAACAGGTCCAGGCCCTCCTCCCCCGGTTCAGTTTTGACCTTGACGTCTGCTGCCGAGGGCCCGTTGGAGTTGTCACATATGACAGAAGTGCCAGGGTGCTTCTCATAGCAGCCACCCACCGCCGTCTCCACACTGCGCCTCCCACCGGACCTGTCTCTGTGGGTGGCTGAGGCCACGGAGGAGGCAGAGGAGGAACCTGTTCCCAGCAGGAGCTGCAGCACCGTGCGACGCTCCAGAAGGTTCTCGATCTGGGATGCGGGGGGCGACACTTCCCCCCAACGGCCGAACGACGGTGTGCCGCTGCCTGAGGGCCCATCTGAGAGGGGGGTACTTGTTGTGTTCCTCTGGATAGGGGCGTTGAGCCTCTCCAGCAGGGCCAAAGGCCTGCCACCACCCACCTCCAGATCCTGGCTGGGTACTTTGCTGGGAGCCATGGGCGGGGAGGGTGAGGCAGTGCCGCATTGGGCCAGGTTCTGTAACAGTTTACTGGCGCTGAACGCCGGCTCAGCTGCAGCTTTCTCAACAGGGAAGGGTTTAGACTTACACAGATCCAGAGGGCTAGACTGGACATGGGGAGAGGGGTAGGAGAACGGGGACGGGGTGCTGCTGGGGTCTCGGCTGAGAGAGTACATGGGAGGGCCTGGGCCTGGTCTGTCCAGAGGGCTCTGTGTCCTGACTTCCTCCCAGGGGGCCAGTGATTTAAGTGGGATCCGTGACAGACTGGACAGGGTTGCGTCATGCTGCAAATCTGGATTAACGACTATTTTGTTTACCTTGTCGTTATTCCTGCGCTCCAGAAGGAGCTGCATGAGAGTGACCTTGGGCTGGGACTTAAGGTCTGGGCTCATTTCAAGCTCCTTCTTAACCTGGGGGACTTTCAGCCTGGAAGGATCCGGCTTCCACTTGTTTAGCAGGGACTCAGTGAGTTTGTCTAAGGACGAGGACGAGGACGAGGAGGAACAGAAAGTGGTGGAGGAAGAGGAGAGAACGGTAGAGGAGGAAGAGAAAGCGGTAGTGGAGGAAGAAAAGACAGTGGGGGCAGAGGAGAAAACAGCAGAAGAAAAGTTGGAGGAGAAAGCAGTAGAAGAGCAGGAGTAAGAAGCAGAGGTGGAGGAGGAGGTGGCTTTAGGCCTGGTCTCTGGAGCTCTGGTGCTGGCCCTGCTCCTCATAGAGAGGTCAATAGGAGAGCAGCTGGAGAAGGAGATCTCTGCATCGCTGTAGCTCTCCTCTCTCTTGGCCAGGCTTTTCTCCTGGACAGAGCACTCACTGTCAGAGGTGACGGAGGAGCCGCGGCTGGCAGGCAGGACCCTGCAGTTGTCCTCCAGGTGCCCGTTCTTAGTTAGCTGCTTCTGGTTGTTGTGGTTGTTGAGGAGCAGCAAGAGCAGGCTGCTGCAGGTCTGGGGGGGCCTGGCGGGGCGCGAGTCAAATCCCCGTTTTTCCCTAGTGGGGGTTTGGGGTTGGGTCTGGGTGTTGGGGGTGAGGGGCAGAGGAGGGGGGGTTGGATGTGGCGAGCTGTGGACTGGCAGCAGGGAGGAGGGGCTCCGCTGGCTGGAGCTGGAGTTTAGTGCCAGTCGGGGGAGTGTTGTTGACGTTGTTCCGTTTTGGGTGGTTAAGGAGCTTAGCGCGTCTAGGGCGGTGGTGGTGGCGCTGGTGGGCGGAGCATCTCCCGCGCTGGGTGGCCTCTTGTCCTGGGTCTGCTGCGTTGCCATGGCGGCCAGCCTCTCGCTGGCGGAGCGTCCGGAGAGCTGGGCCTTGAGGGTATGCTCCCGGGAATATTGCTGCAGGTGGGCCTCACTGGACAGCAGAAGGGCCAGCTGACTGCAAGCCACACTGGGTTTGGGCGAGGGGGCAGGGCTGGAGCGGATCTTCACAAGGTTGGCCACAGCCTTGAGCCGTTCAGCACAGGACACAGCATCAGTGGCAGCAGAAGCAGCGGTGGGGGTGGAGGGAGGCGTGCTGCTCTGTACCGAGCGGGGGGACTCACAGGGCCTTTCCTGGCTGTGGCCGTGGCTGTGGCCTCGCCGGCTGTAAGGCGTGCTGCTGTGGTTCTTCAGCTTGGTCTTCCTCATCAGGCCCTTGAGGCGGCTGGAGGCCATTCCGTAGCAGGGGAGAGGCTCCTTGTCTGCAGCAGGAGGGAGATCGGTGGGCGGGGAGTGCTCGCTGGGGGGTTTGGTGGACTGCTGTGACATGGCCACACTCTGCAGTCTGGAGCTGAATGACTGGAGCAGGGAGGCCAGCAGCGTGCTCTCCCCAGCGTGAGGAGAGCCCTCCAGAGCCCCGTTTTGCAGGCCTCCTCCTCCCCCCTGGCCGTTCAGCTCCACAGGGGGGGAGCTCAGCCTCTGGGCCCCAGGCTCGTTCCAGGGCCCTGAGCGGAGCAGCCGGGCCTTCTTCAGGTTCTGGGAGGCCCCATGGTGCAGCGTGGGACCATTCCCATTGCCGGCCTTCTGAACAGCGGCGATAGCAGGGCTGTGGCTGGGCAGCTGGAAGGGCCGGGCCGCTTTGTTGACCTGCTCCACCTGGTTGCCGTGCCCGTGGGCAGCCTCCGATCTCCGGGTTGCCGTGGCCCCAGGCCCAGCCGCCACGGGATGCATCAGTAAACCTTCAAGATAAGTTAGAACAGCTGAATCCGTGTGTGTTTCAGGGCCAGGCTCCTCCCCATGAGTCATGTTCAATACTAGGATCCCCCTCGTATGGTTCAGCACTGCTACTGGGAATAACAAGGTCCACTAGGTCATCAGGTACTGTACTTCCAGATATTGATAAGAGGTGAGGATGCACATGGGCAGGTCTTTTACAGGTTCTGGAATCCACTGGCTCAATGTACAGTATTCCCTTCTCCACAGTGGAAAATGTCACTAACACAAAGAAACTGTGGCCATGACGGGAGCCATTTGGGGGCTCTCACCCAGCCCTCACTGGCATTCCTGTGTGCCTGTGACACCGGATGCTCCCAGAATCCCCGGGTCCAAGCTTATGCAGCTAACGGCGAGGAACGAGGAGTCAGCGGGATTTCAACACCACAGTGATGTTGGCGCATTCCGTGACTGTGGATGTTTTGGATGTCTGTCTGTCGAGAAGCCTGGGGGCGGTTCTCTCCGTGGTGCCTTTCCGCTCTCCTGATCTCAGAGGGGGGACCTATGTGAGCAGAGAGAGAGAGAGAGAGGGAAGAGAAAGAGAGAGAGGGAAGATAGAGCGAGAAAGAGGGAGAAAGCGAGAGATGGGGAGAGAGAGAGAAACAGCGTGAGAAGGAGGGACTTGCAGCATGGCAGCACTACATCACATTCATTTCAACACCTTGTCCGCCATGCCTGTTACTTGGCTAAATTTCAGTTTGACTGCACACGGCAACCCCTAATCCCTGTGTATTTTTTTATTTCAACCAAATCGATGACAACAAATGTAGATTAGGGTCTGATTTTATTCAAATTGTAAATTCAAGCCCACTACCTCGAAAACATTGGTCTTCAAGCCGTAAGCCCCTCGTTGCAAAGTGTCGGTGCTGTCTTTCAAAAGTGAAGGGTCTGTGAGAGCTGTGAATCATTTCTTATACAGCTTGTCATTTCAGTGGATTATTCTCCCTCCCTCCCTCCCTACTACCACTCCTCCTGCACTTGAGCATTTCACACTACCCTGTCTCCGTTCTCACACAGCAGCTGCACACACACACACACACACACACACAAACATACACACACACACACACACACAGAGGTATAGTGACTCAGTGCTCTCCCACCTGGGTACAGTCCTGGCTGCCCTGGTGCCTATGGAGAGCACTGGCCTTATCACCACCAACCACCTGCCCAGCTAGATCTTTCACCTGCCTCAGTTGATCCCTGTCTGGACAAGATATGGACCCGCACTTCAGCTCTCATTGTCAATGACATGAGCCCTGAAGGTATTCTAAATACCAGAACTGCATTGACTTGACATAAGCCCGGTTATTATGTACAAAGCCAGCACAGGTTTACTCAGTACTGACACTGGCCTCCACAGAGAAGAGACAGGATAAGGCTTGGTTGAGCTGCCAGGTGTGTGTGTGTGTGTTTTTGTGTTTGTTTGTGTGTGTGTGTGGATCCGGTGCACCTGTCACACTGTTGCCGTGCCACTGTCAGGAGGGCAAGACATTGACACTCAGGCGACTGACCACTGTTGCCGGTTGACATGACAATGCCCTAAGAGACCTGCAGTGTGAACCCTGTCAGGCTGGTCTCTGTGGTTACAGGACACGTCCCACAGTCAGAGCCGTGGCCATCAGGGTTAATTAATACAGAGAGTTTCCACCGCCACCTCAGCTGCCTTCCTGCTTGCCTGCCTGATGCCCAATGTCTCTCCCTGAAGCTGCCTGCCTGCCCCACCTTTGGCGTGACTCGCCGAGTGGACGACATACAGGGTCACAACGACAGGAGTCAGGATAGTGAAGCCCTTGATTACAATGAGGCTCTTGATTTTGATGAAGGTCAGTGATGATGCTGTCTAACCTAAATAATATGGGACAGAACAGTGTAGGGTCGCAACGAAAGGACAGATAGGATTTAGCCTTAGCCCTTAATTATGGAGGTCAGTGATGATGCAGACTAACCATGGTACAGGAAAGTATAGCCCATCATAATGACTGGAGGTCAGTCATGATGCAGTCAGTCTAACCTATATATTAATAAGCGTAATGAAGCAGCCAGGATCAACAACAACACAGTAGGCTATCTATAATCTGAGTTAAATCCATCTCATGGGATGGCCCAGGTCCACAGGTTGGCACGACTGTAACGTCCACCAAAGTGCAACCTTGAAAATGAGTGGGGATTAGCTGTGGGATAACAGCTGATCAGCTAGCCCAACTGACAGCCTGCAATGAAATACTAGGATGGAACAAGAAAAGGAAAGGAACCCCAGCCTGTAACTCAAGGTTTATAAGGAACAGGTCTGGGAACCCGTCTGGCCAAGTAACACGAATGGCAAAGATAAGAAATGACTTAATTGAGATTGGCCGATCAAATCAAATCAAATGTTATTTGTCACATACACGTGTTTAGCAGATGTTATTGCGGGAGTAGCGAAATGCTTGTGCTCCTAGCTCAGACAGTGCAGTAATATCTAACACGTAATATCTAACAATTTCACAACATATACCCAATGAGCGTTGATTACAGTTCAAGGCCAGCTTTATGCTGCTGACCCAAATCTGACCACAACAAAAGCCAACCTGCGCACCCACTGGACTGGAGTGACAGACCATCTGACGTCTGCTGTCCTGCTAATCTTAGACGGCAGGATTAGGTCTATTTTCCCGCTGTGCAGGCCGACCCGAGGGCTTAACTCAATTAAAAAAGGAACGCAATGAATGTGTTTGGTAGGGGCAGTAAACGTGTAAATAAATGTGTACCGTCAAGTTAACTTAGTCACTTAGCTAGAGACCTGTGTGTGTGTGTGTGTGTGTGTGTGGATGTGTTTAACTATACTTGAATTGTAAACAAACAAAAATGTGACTAACTGGGAACATTTTGTTATTCCCCACAAGGTAAAATGCTATTTCTTGGGGGTTTAGGGTTAAGGTTAGAATTAGTGTTTAGGGTTATGAGATAGGGTTCGTTTTAGGGTTAGGGTTAGGAGCTAGGGATATGCTTAGGGTTAAGGTTAGAGTTAGGGTTAGGGGTTAGGGAAAATAGTATTTTGAATGGGACTGAATTGTGTCTCCCCACAAGGTTAGTTGTCGAGACTGTGTGTGTGTGTGTGTGTGTGTGTGTTTGTGTGTGTTTAAGAATCAGACCACAAATGTGAAAGAACCTGAAGATGAACTGGCATTCAGGCCTACATACATTCAGCAGGTTCAAAACAGGACATATTCTCGGCTGGTGGAAAGGTATTTTAGGCTTGACACTGAGCTTGTCTATAACCCATCAAAATATAATAATCAACTGGAAATAAAATGTAATAAAGGGTTACAAGGCCCATAAAGTGGACTGTATTCATAATGTAAATCTAAGTGTAGGTAGGGGTCCTGTCCTGTCTGTGGATAGGTAGGGTTGGTGGGGACTTTGTGAAGGACAGGGCCCTAGACAGCAGCCATGACTGAGGTAAAAAAAAAAGGCCTGGAATTGCAGTGGCAGCAGCAGTAGAAAGTGTGTGCTGTAAAAGAGCACTGTGCACTGTGAACAAATAAATTACCTTAATATATGGAGCCTGTCATCTAAGCCTAGCCCCTAAAGCCCAGACCCCCCTCTGCTTTCAGGAGCAGCAGGCGATACGGGCATGTGTATTACTATTACATTATCTCGCCTTGTGTATTTACATTATCTCGCCTTGTGTATATATTGAAAATGACCTTACACATCTGTTAACATGTCATATCATTCCTTGCCCCCAAAACATGACCCCTCTCCCCATCTCCATGGTGAGACACCAGAGGGCCAATGAGCCGCTCTCCACCGACTCCAGTTACCGTGGTGATTATCCATTATCTTTGACAATGTCACGCAATGACACCTAAACGCATTCTAAAGTGATTTTTACTACAGTGGCCATGGGCGAAAGGGAAGACGGCTATGGAGACGAGAGCTTTATCATCCCCCAACTGACTGCTCGCTCTCCTACTCTACTTTCTGCTTTCCTCTCCACCTCTCTCCTCCTTTCTCCTCCCCTGTACTCATCTCCACTTTTCCTCCCCTCCTCTTTGCTTCTCTTCTCTCCTTTCTTCTCCTCCTCTTTCTTTCCTCTCCTCTTCTCTCCTACCCTCCCCTCTATTTTTCACTTCTGTTCTCCTCTCTCCCTCTCCTCCTTTTCTCCAGAAGCACTAGGAACAGGAAGGTCAGCGCACTATCAGCCATTTCCTCTGTGGAATAACCAGAAAACTGGAGTGAATACGACCCGATGCAGATGTCAGGGATTAGATATCCAAGTTTGACCTTCAATCCCCCTCACTCATCCCCCACCCTCCTCAAAATGAGAGTTTCCTCAATGACCTTAATTGTCAGGAATGGTAATCCATTTAAGCCATTTTAAATGTATGAGTCAAAACAAAAGACTGAAGAAGGGAAGAGCCACAGGAGCAGGCAGTTAAAGTCAAGGTCATTCACACCGCCCAGGCTTTCCACTTGATGCAACAGCTGGTGTCCATGCAAAGCTCTGGGCGTTAATAAAAAGTGACAATGCAGCCCGAGCATGGGGGATCACTAACGTCTGACACCAGCCTGGCAGATGTGTTTTCCCTGCATTAAAGGGGAGTCAAGGTTAAAGGAATTTAAAAGAAGAGGCGATGCCTAAACACTATTATTTCATGTAATCTGCAGGCCAGCCTGCTGCACATACTCAACAGGGTACCTCACTTACACATGCAGCGTGACTGCCATTTGTAAATTCAATATGGCCCGGGCCTGACATGATTAAATAAGACAAAAATCAAGCTACCAACCTGACCAAATGCAATTGTTCAAACTGGGAACACAAGTGAACTTGCACACGGTGGGAAAGTCAAATTAAAAGCTCTGTCTAACCTTGGCAGAGGTAAACAAGAGAATAACATGCTACTGAACAGCGTGAGACCACAACCAAAGATTATGTTAGAGATAAGTCAATCAGGACCAAGTAACAAGGAAAACACACATGTACGTGGACACACACACGCGGACACACGCATACACAGACACACACAAGAACTAGGGCACTCTGA